CACTATTGATGATGTCCAATTGCAACTGATATTTGCGCTGTGGGTTGTAGCATTGGTATCTACAGTGTTGGCACTGTTGTGTTGGTGTTGTTGATGTTGTTGTTGAAGTTGTCACTATTGGTATGATTGTTGTTTACATCATCAATATTGTTGGTGATAACATTGTTATAATTATTGCTGTTGTCGTAATTGTTGTTGTTATAATTATAATGATTGTTGTTTTTATTTAGTAGTCTATTTGAAGGTAGAATGTTGTTAGACTGTACTTGAATGTTCAGGGAGGGATTTTTGTTTTGTATGAAAATTGATTCAGCTATTTTCAGGTTTGTGATGTTGTTATTGCAATAAACTATTTGCGTGTTATTTAACATTTGTCGTGTTAAAGTGATGTTATGCTGTTGTTGACAACTGAGCGTTGATATTTACCTTAACAACCATAATATAAACAATCTTGCCGTTAAAAATTTAAAAAAATTTTAAATGCAGTACTTAGTAGAGAAGTTGCTAGCAGTTAAACCCCCTGATGATTTGAAGCTTCTCCAAGATTGTTACGGGACAGGATTTGGTAAACCAAAGTTTCCTGATGCTATAACTGAAAGAACAAGACTTGGCGATTTGGCTACTTGTGGTTCATGGTTTATTGTCTAGTTTTTGGAAATGGACACGGATTTTCTAAACGATGACATAGAAAATTGGCCAGGCCACCCAGCGTTCCTGATATCAAAGAAGATAACCTGTCTAAATGTTGTCAATGACAGTGCTGAGTGCAGTGTAAAGTTAAGTGCTGATTTCATAGAAGCAGCCAAGTCAAAAGAGCATTACCAGAACATCTTCCAAATTGTTGAGAGCCACAGGAAAAAAACTCCTAATCTAAGAAAGAGAAAGCAATCATTAACGAAAGTCGATAACAAAGATGATTAAAATGTGTGAGTATACTGTGAAACTGTCATGATGTTCTCAAACTTTTTACATTTGTGTATTTTCTGCTATAAATGTCACGAATCTACTTCTTATGTGCTGTTTTCTTTTTCAAAATTTATGGAAAATATAACCGGTAAATATTTACGTTGAATTCGTTACAATACAAAATCTATAAATATTCAGGTAGAATGTGAACCCCTTAAATATTAATCAAAAATTTTAATTTATAAACATGGCGTGTTTTAAATTTCTGAATTAAGTATTTTTTATTTATTTTTACCTTCGGCTCTTAGTTTTTAATTAATTAAAAATTCTCAATTAGTTAATTAATTTTTTATTTCTAATTCAAATACAAATAATTTGAATTGATTTGTTTTACACAACTTGAATTGAACAAATGATATAATGTTTTAACAGCTACTACATTGACTTCAATTCAAATAAATTATTTTTCTTGAGTCAACTCAATATCATGATAATCTCCTACACCCTTTCACAGTTACTCAGTTTCAACCAGCCCGGCAAGGCATTCATTCCAAGATGCACTCGCAACAATCTTTTCAGATTTAAAATATGGCGACCTAAATCTAAACGAACACATCATCGATCTCAAACGTCAAAAATTTATAGCAAATTAATTTGGTCTGTTGAACACTCGCTCAGCACTTGTAACATTCGTAAAGCTGCACTCATCTATGATTCAACGTGGGATCATCGTTTAGATGTGCTGTATTTAACAAAGACATGGATCACACCTGTCGACCCTGATGTGATCAAGTGTGATGTCGCTCCACCTGTCGCTTTTTAGTTATTCATCAGTACAGAAGTACTAGTGGTGATAAGAAAGGGGGTGGCATCTCTACTATCCATCGGGACTACATAGGGTGTTCAACAATTACCTCATATTCAACAACCAGTTTTGAGCTACTTGGTGTCAAACTCAATTACATTTAACATTTAGTTCATATTTTCATTATCTAAAGGCTACCAGGCCCCATTACATCTAAATTTCTAAATGAGTTTATTAATTTAATTGAAGGTATCACATCAACAAGCATCAGATTTATTTCAATGCTCTTTCTCCTCAGACATCTGTTAATGCTGAATTGTTGGAGATCATTGACGAGTTTAGTCTTCTACAACACGTTTGTTCGCCTACACATAGTAAAGGTAATATTCTCGACTTGCTGATAACATTTAAAGATCAATCAATTATTGTTTCAACAGTCAAAGTCTATACAACATCTTTTTCTGATCACAACCTCATCACCACTTCAGTCTACGCTCCTCGACTCAACATAACATACAACAAGGTTACGTTTAGAAATATTAAAAAGTCAAAGTTAAAATTCAATGTTGATTTACTCTTCTTATCAATCCTGGAATATGATAAACAAACCACTCACCAATATGCATCTCACATCAATTCAATAGTTTCCCAGACACTTGACAAACATGCTCCATTAAAAACAAGGGTTTTCCGTAAAAACCTAGATTCGTACAAGCACATATCAAATGACGCTCGTAATGCTAAAAAATGCAGGCTTGAAATGGAACGTGTATACATGAACAAAAAAATTATAATTAATAAACTAAATTATGACAATGCAAAAACTTTGGCCCGGGAATTGGTTCTTAAATCCAGAGTGAATTCATTTAGAAATGAGCTCGACATATCGATAAGCTTGCGTGCCACTTGGCCAACTTCAATAAACTTTTACACAAGAATAACGACGAACCTTGTTTCAATAGTTCTGGAACTTCATCATTGGTTAATAACTTCAATGATTATTTAATTAACAAGATCAATAATATTCATAAAAACATTGAACAGCAGTTATTGGTTTCATCAGGTGATGCTGATTTGGATAATGTTACTGCCTCCGCCTGTAACCGCTTCGGGTTTTTTGATGATGTCACACTTGATGAGATCAAAAGCATCATCAAATCTTTATGCAATAAAATATCACCATTGGATCATTTTCCACATCAAGTGTTAACAAATTGCATCAATACCCAATCTACATTCATTTCCATCTTAACGAATTTCTCATTTCATAGCCATTTTCTGACAGCTTTAAAACTGCACAGGTTCTTTCACTCATAAAAAAAAAATCAAATTTGAATAGATCTGACCTATCCTATTGCAGACCAATATCAAATTTATCTACCATTTTCAAAATTATTGAACGGGCAGCACTAAAAAGGTTACAGCTATACATCTCTCAACATCCTAATTTCGCACTTTTCCAGTCAGCTTATCGTAAAGGTCACTCCACCGAGACGGCTCTGTTGCACATGCTTGACCATGTGTTCAACTCCTGTAACAGTAAACAAGTAACAATCCTTGCTGGGCTGTATATATTGTCGGAAATTTTGCTCGCGTGTGTGGTGTCTGTTCTGTCTGTGCATCTTTCTCAGGGAATATTTTTATGGTCCGACAATAATTTTTGTATATTTTTATCGTGAATTCGACCAGTCCTGTGTGGCACTGGGTTTTTTCAAATTATAGGATTTTACTGAGTAACACACGAACGCGTAAAATATTCGATAACAATTTTATTAATCGACGGAAATAAATGAAAAGGAATTGAACTAACCGAACTCTAGAATAATGTTAAAAATAATGTCACTGAACAAACTGGAATACAGGAATTAGAACTTCTTCTTGTTGGGGTCGGGCAACTTGGGATATGTTCCTTGCCGTTCAATCGTACAACCTCGACGTGTGTGACCGATGGTGGTGTTGATACAACTCCGAGAGATAAATGAAATGAATGAAGAAAAATTAAAAAAATCGGAGCCTATGGGAGTTCCAAGCTGCGTGCGAAACTATACCAATGAGTATAGAATCCAGCAAAGAACCCTATGACCATGTGACACCCATTTTAAGAGACCTACATTGGCTAACAGTGAAAAAAAAGAATCAACTATAAGATTTGTGTGACTATGTATAAGGCTTTGAACGGGTTGTTACCAGTATATCTAGTAAATAAAATCTTAAAAAAACCAGCTTCTTCAACAAATGCAAAATTGAAATCAGACTATGCCAACCTACTGGCAGTGACAACTACTCAACTACAAACTGCAACTAGAAATATTGCCGTGTCAGGACCAATTGCCTGGAACAGTCTTTCGCAATCGCTCAGAATGCCTGGACTAAAGCTTGATGATTTTAAGAGGAACTTAAAAACATATTTATTTTGACATAGAAATACTTTATCGATTTGTAGTTTATTGACCTTCACTGATTTCATTTATAATAGAGAGCGCTTTCGAGAAATTTCAATTTTATAATGCGCTTAATAAAAAAAATTTAATTACCTTCAATCCTTCGATTGTTATTCAGTTACCAGCTGAATCCAAGAAACAAAGAGGCAATTTTAATAACAAATTAAATATAGAGGAAATAAGAAATGCCGCCAAACAGTTGAAACAAAACCAAAATATTGTTATCCGTCATGCTGATAAAGCGTTAATGTATGTCATTCTAAATAAAGATGATTATTTTGGAAAATTGAACACAATATTAAACGTCACCACTAAATTTAAAATAATAAAAACTGATCCTACAACATCACTAAAAGTCAAACTCAACAAAATCATCCACCAAATCAACAGACATTGTCCTAATGATAAAAATCCTCCTCTTTTTGGCGAATTCCAACCTGGTTACCTTAAAACTCATAAAACTGACAATCCATTGAGACTTATCATTAGCCAGATTCCTACCGTAACATATCCAATAGCTAAATTACTATGTAAACTCTTGACTCCTTATGTTCCCAACGATAACAACATAAAATCTTCACGCGAATTTATCGAAATTTTAAATACTAATTCATCAGCCAAATACATTGCATCACTTGATGTGGAATCCTTATTTAAAAACGTACCGGTGAAAGACACAATTGACATCATTATCAATACGGTTTACAATTCAAATGTCCCCAATCAAAATTCCCAAATCTCATCTCAAATCGCTTTTGGAAATTTGTACAACCGAGGCATCCTTCATAAGTCCAACAGGAAAAATGTATAAACAAATTGATGGTATAGCCATGGGTTCGTCACTAGGAGTACTTTTCGCTAATTTTTATTTACATTTAGTAAACAAGACGTTTGAACAACATCCACATTTAAAACCACACATTTACACTCGATATATTGATGATATTTTTGTCGCATGTGATAAACAAGACATGATCAATGAACTCGTTACCACGTTTAATCATTCAAAAGTTAAATTCACAATTGAATTAGAAAAAGAAAAATCATTACCGTTTCTGGATGTGCTAGATAAATATGATGAACGTAATTTCAACATCTCACTTTATGTGAAAGAAATTAACAAAGGAATTTGTCTTAATGGACAAAGGAATGTACGAAAGAATATAAACTGAATACTATCAAAGCCTTCGTCAACCGAGCAATAACACACTCTACTACTCAAAATGACATCAATACAGAATTGAATCGCATTAAAAAATTACTTGTTAATAATGGTTATCAAATATCAGATAATAACATTGTAATTAAATTTTAATTAAGAAATATCAGTAACAACAATAATAATAACTACAACAGAGTTACCAGTAGCAATATTATCACCAACAACAATAATCTTTCTATTGATAATGATAACTCCATTGCCAACTATAGCATCATTAATAACAACAACAATAACAGTAATCTTAATATTGATAACGATAACAACAACAATAATTTAAACAATAATCACAATAATCACTATAACAATATTATTCATAATACTAATAATTATAACGAAAGCATTGTCAACAACAACAACGATGAAGTCAATAATAACAACAATAATCCAGATACTAATCACAACATCATAGTCAACAATTTTAATAACCAAAACAACACCTACTACAATAACGTCAATATAAATAACAATAACATTACGACCAACAGCATCAACAACAATAATAATAATAATAATAATAATGATAAAGATATTATTCTATATTACCGCAATATCATGTTCACTTCATATAAAACAGATGAAAACATTTTAAGAAAACTAATTTACAACAATATCAAACCCGTCAATCCCAATTGCAAAGTTAAGTTAAGAATATATTATAAAAACGCCAAAACATCACACATGATAATCAAAAATAACTGTCAACCCAACAACAATTCCATCATGAAAAATAGTCATCTTATATATGAATTTTCCTGTCCCATCGGTAACTGTGTGCACCAAGAATGACCACCACTCAATTTTCTCGTCGACTTACCATGCACAAAAGAGAGGGTGCGATCAAATCTCATATAGAAACAACACATAATACAACATTAACACGTTCAATTCTCGATAATAACACAAATGTTTTTTACAAAAACTCTGATTTTTCACCTTGAAGATAGCCGAAGCCCTTTTAATAGAAATAAAAAATCCAAAATTAAATGTTCAGCTACAAAGTATAACAGTACTTCCGACTCACAAACAGTTATCTAAACTAATTAATAATTCTCTCACCACCAATAACAACAATAACAACCACGTTAGAAAACTTGAAAAATTAATGCATAAACATAATAATTGTATTAACGCGTTTGATTTTCTTGAAAACACACACACACACACACACACACACACACACACACACACATATATATATGTATATATATATATATATAAGGGTGGTCCCCAATTACATTGGAAAAAATAAAACGCGTAATTTTTCAGGTCTTACCCTTTTATTTGTTTCTCTCATATATAACAAGTAATATGATAAAATTTTATTGACCATAGACAAAATTTAGAGGTCGCCCAGGCGAGTCAAAGTGTCCTGTGCTACCACCTAATTATACGTATTAGCATTTTGTTGCAAAGCATGATAAAACTGTTACAAACTACTTGATAAAATTATTATGTCCATTACCCAGTGTAACTGTTAAACCATTTAGTTGTTAAGGAGATGTATTTCCTCCCACTAATGTCTCTTTCTTTGAGTTTGGATACTGAATACGATGGTACTCAACAACTTGCAGAAGATACTGCTTTTGTTCTTCAGATGATACTATTGCTCTGTTAAAATCCTGCATCAAAGCAACTCCTCTCTCTGCAAAATCATTGACTGGCTTTATACTGCTTACAACTTCAAAAGCTTTCTTGTACTGTTCATCTTCTCTCCACTTGGAGGGTCTCTTGTTTAGAAATGATTGAGGCAGTCCGAGGATTGCAAAGAATTGCATGGTGTTCGAAGACACAAAGTCTTTGACAGACATTTCATCAGATATGTCATTAATATTCATCTGCACTCTTTTGGTGAAATCGTTGGTTGTTTTTGATTCCACTGACAGAGTATCAACCATCAACACTTTCTCCTCATGAGAAATCTGATCATCGAAAAACGCAGCTCCAACAAGTTCCTCGCTACATACCATAGATGTCTAGAAAGTGCGTTTGCAGCGGCAACAGAAACTTCACGGTCTACATCTCTGAATTGTTGGATTTTCTTTACCAGCTGGAGATCATGTTTAGCGGCACTAAAAAGATCTGGAACCGTGAACCACGATCTAAGATACACACAGATACCAAAAACGATGAAGCGACAGATTCCCTTTTCTTCAACTCTTGTCAGCAGAAACTGATGACGATACATGTACAATTTGAAGGCGTATATTAGTCTCGCCATCCAGCGTGCCCTATGCAGAGCTCCAGGTTGCAGAACTCTGACTCCCCTTGGCGGTGTCTCTCCCAGCAAAATAAGTGAAAGCTCAAGTAGTTCCCTGTAATCGCACCTTGGCTGAAATTGTTCAAGTTGCGTTAGGCAAAAGCTAACGATACCTTCTTTGTGTTGTTCAACTTTGCTGTTCATGCTTTCATCATCCATAATTGTATGGTAATCAGATTGGTTAATGCTATTGAACTCATTTCGAAAGCGCAAGAAGGGTGCTATTTCTGGACCTGACGTATTAGACGACATGCATGCAGAAAACGCATGCTCAAGTATTATTTCAGATATGTGGCGACGGCAAGCTATGTGAAGCACGTTACGTCTTAATTTTTGTTGCAGCAGGGTGCATGCTCCATTTTTCTTTCCAGTATTACTTGCTGTAGTATCGAACACTAATGCCTTAACAGACTCCTCTAGGTTCATTCTAAGAGGCATTCGTGCACTGCTGTAGCCTGTCTCTCCCCTGTACCAGATTCTAGTTTTGGAACTGATAAGAGCTTTTCAACTCCCGCTCCTGCAACAACAATGGGAAGACGATCAACTTTCTGATTACCTGTCAAATCAAGTAAGAACTTCCCATCCCAATGGACAGCCAAAGGAACATCTGCAGAAAAATTCCTTCGAATTTCTAACGCAAGTTCTTGACGATGCTTATGCCTTGCTCGTCGAATTGAGGATCTATTAATGGCAAGGTTTCCAGCATTTAAGCCAAGGTGTTTGGCAACTCCACTGATGATGTACGTTGCCTTTTTATCAGAAGTCTTCGTTCGATCAAGTGCTGCAGCAGTTTCTCTGCTAACTGCACAATATGGACGGGACATCGAGAAGCTTTTCCTACTTCGTTTTACCTGCACACGTTTGGCAATGCTGTCTTCTTCTGATTTACATTCTGACGATGAATCACTGGAACTGTGCTCTATTTTAGCTGAACATGCACCGGCAGTGATCTTTTCTTGTGCCTGGACTGATTTTAATTTGTAGCTCTCCTGTCTTCTTTTCCTTTCATACGAGATTCCTTTGTGAAGACTGAAGTGAAGAAAAAACACGTGCTTCTTCATTCCCTGAAATTCGATATTTTGCTTCTAATTAAAAGGTCAAATTGAAAGACAAGGAAGAGATGGATTCAAAGCTTCAAATAAAGCAGTTAAGTTGCGCAGCCGATTGGCCCATTTGGAAACGTCGTGTTCGAGATTTCATGGACTACCATGAGGGCGCACTTGATGTGATTGATGGGAAGTTGTTGAAACCAGAATTACTAGAAAACCAAACAGAGTAACAGGCAAAAGATTTTAAAAATAAATCAGATCTGTTTAGAAAGGCAAACAGTTATGCCAAATCAGTAATTGCAAATGCAGTCACAGAAGATACATACCAAAAGATAATGGACAAAAACACAGCGTTTGAAGTTTGGGAGGAATTAAAAAGAAATTTTGAAGCGTCAACTAAAGACCAACTGTTCCAAGTATGTAGCAATTTTTTCGATTTCAATTGGATAGCGGATGTAGATGTATCCGGCCATATTGCAAGATTGAAGACTTTATGGAACGAATTAAACAGTGGGCTTCAGGCATCGGGAGAAAATAAACTACCAGAGCTGATATTAGTATGCAAAGCGATGCAGATTCTCCCAAATAGTTTCCAAAACTTCAAATCAAGTTGGCTAATGCTAGGTGAAGAAAAGCAGTCGATAGATGATTGAATCACTCATCTCTGTGCTTTCGAAAGAGAGATAAAGACTTTCGACACAATCGATAAATCATCAAGGCAGAACGCCTTAGTTGTAAATGTCGAAAAGACAAGTTTCAACAAATCAAGAGATTTCACTAAAAGGAAAAAACCAGTTGGTAATTGCAACTATTGCCATAAACCTGAACATTGGGTTAAGCAATGTAGAAAGTGGGTCAGTGATGGAAGACCTTCTAAAAATTTCAAAAATGTTTCAGCGACACCAAGAAAAGCATATGATGGAACATCAAATGTAGTTTTGTGCACGTCAGCCAGTAATCAAACACTGAGAGACAATAAGAAATCACTAGTTGCTATGGAATCAAGTGTTTTTGCAATTGACGAGTCAGCGTACACTGATGAATGGTTTTTTGACAATGGTGCAACGTGTCATCTAACTTTCCGAAGAGACATATTTCAAAGTTTTGAAAAATTTTCTCAACCGAGTAAATTATATGTTGCAAATGGTGATACTATAGAAGCTTTTGGAAAAGGAATTATTCATCTTCAAGTGAAAGTGAATAATAAATGGCAAACTGTTAAACTTACAGATGTCTTGTATGTGCCAAAAGTAAAAAGAAATTTGTTCTCAGTACTTGCAACTCAAGATAAGAACAGAAATAGCTCTTTTGTTTCAACCTCAAGAAGTTGTCATCTACTTATTGACAATGTGATAAGTGTTGTTGGAATAAGAAACAACAATGAAGGTTTGTTCAAACTTGTTGCAAAAAGTGTTAGACCGTTAAATTCTGAAGTCGAAGTTAAGAAATAAAAGTTTGTTCAACCAGGAAATAAAATGCATCGATCAAGAGATGTTATTTTTGATGAGAAGGTTGTCAAACCAAATTCAGTGATTTTGCAAGAAGAAAGTTGTTCAGATGATACAATTTCGATTGATGTTGAAATCAAAGATGAAAATAAAGAAACTTTGTTTAAAGAAAATATTTCAACTGATGAAGATGTTCACAACCGTAGTTCAGTTTCATCTGATGAGGAGGATCAATCTGACTGTTGTAATCAAAAGACCAAAGGTATGGTTTTACGTGACAGGAATAATATCAAAAAGCCATCTCGTTATGATCCTTTCGTTATGTCTGCACTATGTGAAGTACTTGAACCAGTGAGCTACAAAGATGCCATTCAAAGTGATGAAAAAGATGAATGGTTTAAAGCCATGAGCAGTGAAATGCAGTCACTAAAGGAAAATCAAACGTGGGATTTGGTAAGTCTTTCAAAAAGGTCATAAGACAATACCATGCAAATGGGTCTACAAGGTAAAACATAATCCAGATAGTTTTGTTGAACGTTTTAAAGCCAGGCTAGTGGTAAAAGGTTTTTCTCAGAAAAAGGGAATTGACTATGAAGAAACCTATAGTCCTGTAGTCAGAAGTTCAACTATAAGAACACTATTAAGTGTTGCTGCAAATGAAAAGATGTCACTCATGCAGTTTGATGTGTCAACAGCATTTCTTTACAGCAAACTAGATGAAGATATTTACATGGAGCAACCTGAAGGTTTTAAAGATAATTCAGGAAAAGTCTGTAAACTCAAGCGAAGTCTCTATGGACTTAAACAAGCTCCAAAATGTTGGAACAAACGCTTTGCTGAATTCTTGAAAAAGAGACATTTCAAACAAAGCGATGCAGATACTTGTTTGTTCATTAGAATACAGGGAGGAAAGAAACTCATACTAGCACTGTATGTTGATGATGGACTAGTTGCAGGAACCGATAAAGAAGAACTAAAAATATTTGAAAAAGAATTAAAGTCAGAGTTCAAGATAACATCTAAACCTGCAACATATTTCCTTGGATTAGAGATTAATCAAGATGAGAAGGGAAATATTAATGTCAGTCAGTCATCCTATACAAGAATGATTCTTGAAAAGTTTGGGATGAGTCAGTGCAAATCCTGTACAACTCCGATTACAAAATTTGAGGAGTTCAATGAAAACAAAAATGAACACTAGGAAGTGAAATTTCCTTACAGATCAGCAGTTGGTGCATTGATGTACTTGATGACGGGAACAAGACCAGATATTGCATATGCAGTTGGTGTAGCATCCAGAAGTTTGGAGAAACTCAGCAAGTCCAATGTAGCACAAGTCAAGCAAATTTTCAGATATTTGCAAGGCACAGCTGATGTCGGTATTGTTTACAAGTCTGGTCAAAACAATACACTTATAGCCTACAGTGATGCAGATCATGGAGGAGATAAATCTAGTAGAAGATCGACATTAGGTGTAATCTGTATGTTTGGAGGAAGCGTGATCAGTTGGTTTAGCCAACGTCAACCCTCAGTTGCGATTTCAACTACTGAAGCAGAAATCGTTGCCGCAAGTGAAGCAGCTCGTGAAGTGATATGGCTCAAACGATTGTTGAACGACATTGTAGATGTAAAGAATAAGCCAGAAATTTTTGTCGACAATGAAGCAGCAATTCGTTTAGCACACAATCCAGAACTTCACAGAAGAACAAAGCACATCCACATTAGACATTTCTTTGTCAGAGAAAAAGTTGCAGAAGAAGAAGTTTCAGTTGAACGAGTTGCAACAGAACTTCAAGTTGCTGATGCTCTGACAAAACCAATGGTAGGACCAAGACTAAAGAATCTGATGTGTGCGATGGGTCTTCAGAACATTTAGGTTAAGGTCATCTAATGTTTTAAATAAAATGAGGTGTTAAGTTTTATGTTTTATATTAAAACATTATGATTTATAATATACATTTATTTTTCTTTGGACCAAATGTTCTTTGCTTTGTATGTAACTTCACTTTTTCCTTTCTGTTGATCCGGTTGATAATAAACAAATCTAGAACGTTGCTTAGTTTGTTTCTCTTCTTTTAATGTCTTTCAATAGTATATCAATTAATTAAACGATCTACGTAACAAGAAATTTAACATATACATGTGCCATATACTTAGAATCATATAATTAGAATATACCTATAATGGCCCTCAAACGCACCCGCGCACATTTTCAGAGCGCACATTTTCAGTCGGAACTCATTCTTTAGTTTTCATTAAATTTATCAATTGTTACAATTTTTACATTTTTATAGTTTATTAATAAATATTGGTTCATATAAAAGAATCATTTATTTTGATTATTTTTTAATTGATTTTCATGCATTTTAATCAGTCAGTCAGTCAATCATTTAGCTTATAAATCGCTATTTCCGCGACGTTCAACAGTTCTCTTCAATGAATTTAGCAAACAAATGGGTCTTGAGATCCGCTTTGAACTTTGTAAGTGATGGAGAATTAGTTTACGTTTAGCGTGATTGCGGCACGTTTTCTCGGTTGTTTTGTAATTTGGGTGAATTCTTGTTTTTTGCTTCTGAACAAGTGAGTTCTCTTTTTTTTTACTATGACTATTTTTTTCTATATCTTTCTATATCTTTTTCTATAACTTGTAAATATTATTGTTTTATTCTAGAAACTTTCTCTTAAGTCTCTCTAACACTCCTTTGTCTCCGACGAGAGTAGTTCGGCGGCGAATTTTTTACTTTAATCTTAGGGCTAATAATAACAATAAAAACAATAAATCTAACTCTAACAAAAAAATAAATATAGTTAGTAACAATAATTATAATAATAATGTTAATATCAAGTATAATAACTTTATTAAATCCCACTCTAATGTAATGTAATTAATACTAATGATAAGAATAATAATTCTATTAGTTTAAATAATATAACTAGATTTAAAAGTACCAATATCCAACCTACCTCTACATTTTCACTATTTAATATTAACAAAAGATCAGTTAATAAAAAATCGCTCTATATCCATCAAATAATCTTTTCCTCCTTACCTGATTTTTTTTACTCTTACTGAAACTTGGCACGAGGACTCTAACTCTCCCCCCTTATTCTTGCTATTCCTGATGGTTACAGCTTTCTTGAACTCTAGATCTCCAAAAAATTGTCTATCATCTTATTCTTCTTATGGGGGTATCTGTTTATTTTATAAATCTCTATCTATTTACTGCTTCCATTAATACTTCCTTTAATTTTTCTTCTTTTGAATGTCTTGTTGTATCTCTTAAGTCTTCTTCTCTATCTTTTTATATGGCTGTAATTTATCGCCCTCTCACTTTATTTTTAGATGAATTCTACTCACTCGCTGAATCTCTCTACTATTTTTCTATTACTTTCTATATCTCTGGTGACTTCAACTTGCACTTCAATAATTTATCATGTTCTTACACTCGTAGATTTAATGATATTTTGTCTCATTTTAACTTAGCACAATATTGTTCTTTTCCTACCCATACTTCTGGTAACACTATTGATTTTATTATAGCTTCATCTTTTTCTAAGCCTACTAATATCTCTGCTAGCTCTGTTCCTTATTCTGATCACCCCCTTATTGAATATGTTCTTTCATTAGATTTTCTTACTTAAAATTCATCTATTTCTAAAAGATGCTGGTTTTCTCTTAATAAAGATATTTTTCTTCAATCTCTTACTGAAACTATTTTTGATACTACCTTATTTTCTGATTTTGATGATTTTGTCTATGCTTTTAATATCTACATTACTTCTATTCTTGATAAGCTTATTCCTCTTAAATCTTTTACTTATAGGCTCTATTCTCGTATGGCTCCTTGGTTCGATTATGCTTGTGTAGTAGCCAAGAAAAGTGTTAAAAGACTGGAGAAAGCCTATAGGCTATTAGGGCTCCCATATGTCCTTTTTTTAAGAGGACAGTCCTTTTTTTGCATTGGTGTCCTTTTTAAAATCTGTTCTTCAATTTCATTAATTTTGTCCTTTTTTTTAAAATGTGTCCTTTTTGTCCTTTTTTTTTCATTATTAAGTCTGAAAATATCAATACAACATCACATCATAAATATAAATCAATAATCATAATGCTTAAAATAATTAAAAAAAATAAAATAATTATTTATACATCATAAATCATAATGCTGCTCTTAATAATTGTTTCCAGGTATATAATGCTTATGTTCTGTCCAATCTATAGATTAAAATTCCATGGTTCGAAATAACTTCTATAACAATACTATTTATGATTTCATGTCCATCTAACTTCACTGTGCGTGGAGCGCGTTCTCTTCTTCGCGTGACGCTTATATTATACAGCCACTTTTTTTAATCTAAATTTTTTTAATTTTATCAAATAAATTAATAAATAAAACTAATTTAAATTATAAAATTAACGATGTCAAAAAGAAAAAGCGTTTATCGTGAACAGTTTTCAACTGACTTTCCAGGGATTAAAAACAGTAAAAAAGGTGAAAATTATGCCTTTTGCGAATATTGTTCAACTGATGTTAGTATTGCGAACGCAGGCGTTTCATCTATTAAACAACATTTTGAAAAAGAAGTTCACAAAAACAACGTAAAAATTAAAAAGTCTACTGTCGGAATATCAACATTTTTTCATAGTAATAATTTGCCCACATCTAGAAAAACTGCTGCAGCAGAAGGAGCATTTGCATATCATGTCGCTTTTCACTCGTTATCGTTTAAAGCTGCAGATTGTACAAATCGTTTAATTTCAACTGTTTTCGCTGAATCGGAAACTGGTCGGAAATTTTCATCTGCTCAAACAAAAACGCAGGCAATCATTTCAAGAATATTGGCTCCGAAGTCAATTGAGAATCTTTTGTCTGAATTGGGCAGCGAGCCGTTTTCTATTGCAACCGACTCGTCAAATTTTAAAGAAATCAAAACATTCCCTATCATTATTCGGTATTTTTCGCATGAAGGATTGAAAGTTAAATTGTTAGAGTTTTCAAATTTGTCAGGAGAAACGTCAGAATTGATTTTCAAATATGTAATGACTGTACTTGACAGATTCAAATTGAGCCCTAATAATTTGGTAGCGTTCAGTGCTGACAACGCTAATGTAAACTTTGGTGGAGCAAAACAGAATGGTCAAAATAACGTTTTTGCCAAATTGAAAAACATTCAATCAAAACTGATTGCTGTAGCCTGTCCAGCTCACATTCTCCATAATGCAGCTAAAAAATCCTGTGAAAAGTTTTCATTTGACATTGAATCGTTGCTGTTCAAAATCTTAAGCTATTTCAATGGATCCACGCTGCGACATGAAAAATTTAAAGAATTTTGTGAATTTATGGAAATTCAATATGCTAAATTTCCAACTCATACTCGCACACGATGGTTAAGCCTTCTTCCATTGATTGAACGAATTTTAGTTATGGGGTGGCTTAAAATCACTAGTTTTATCAACGGATGACATTCCAAAGGTTCTGGAAAATTATTCTCTGATGATTCAAATGAAATCTACTTCTGGTTTCTACATAGCTCATTGCAGCTGTTTCAGCAAACTTTGCTGATACTTGAAAAAAAAGACCTTGTGCTTCCTGAAATGATAGAATCTGTCGAAAATCTGTCACAAAAACTCACTGACAGGATGCAGAAAAATTTTTTTGGTGCCATGACTCAATCAAAGTTGCAATCATTAGAGGATTCTAATTTGGCTAATCGCATAGAAAAGGAGTTTTCAACATTTTATTTGACATCTGTTGATTACATTCAGAAGTGGTTCAGAATTACTGATTATCCGTCTTCTTCTAAGTGGTTAATGCTGAAATCTGTCGATACAATTTCGTATGAGAATATTCGAAAATCTGCAGAGTTTCTAATGCCAGAAATTTTTGTGAAAGATTCTCTGTTTGATGAAACGAGTCTTCTAATTTCACTATTGAAAGATTCAAAAGAAAGTTTCCACGAATTGCCTATTGATATAAAATGGGCTGTTCTGTTTCAAAACGAACTGTTTTCAAATTTGAAGAAATTGGTATACACAATTTTTGCCATTCCTACCTCGAATGCTGCTGTTGAGCGAATTTTTTCATTATGTAAAAAACAATGGACTGATGATAGAAACTGCCTAAAACTTGATACTGTTAAAAGTTTACTACAGGTAAAGTTTAATTATTCTTTAACATGCTCTGAAATGTACACTTGTTAAAAAACGATGACTTAATTAAGCAAATACAATCAAAGGATAAGTATGTTGGTTGATTTCAGTAGTATGCCGGAGATCAGAGACTTATACAAAAAATTGAGAAACTGTCGTATAGATTGAGTACTACAAGGAAGGAACGCTAGTATTTTTATTATATATATATATATATATATATAGTTGAAATCGATCGCTGTTATTAAATTATTTCTTTTCTTTTTTAGATTTTCCAACTTTCGAATTAGTTTTTTATGTTCGTAATCTAGGTCGTGTATTAAGTTTCCTAAAGTCATTTTTAACAATTTTATTTCCCGACGTTTCGATGATATTACCATGGAATTATATAACTGGAAGCGCCCTACCAGCGTTTTAACATTGAAAATTTTTTTCAACGGGCAAGTTACCTCTGGAAGCAAGTTCCTAAAAATTAATTATTCATGAGCATTTTGATTTAGTTTATTTAGAGATATAATTAGAAAAAATCTTGGACTTCCCGAAGTTATGTTAATGACTCTTTGCCGATCTACATTCAGCTCGTTTGTTAAAATTTATTTCGTTTTCAACATTCCGTGAAGTTTTAGGTTTTATAATGTGCCGTATTTTATCTTTAAATTAAATAGATATTGCCATTTTTTTGATGCATCGGAAAAATCGAAGATTTGTAGATCGGCAAAGAGTCATTAAGTTCGTTAGCGATCCTCATTTTTCTGAAATAAAGATTTCTTCATTCATTTTCCCAGCACCCACGAATCACGATGATTAGACATTTAGAGTAAGAATCATTCCTAAATTAAATTAGAATCTAGAAAACGAAAAGAAGTGGGTAAAAATTTTATTGTAAAAATGAAATGTTATTAATATTTAAAAAATATAACTCATGATCAATTTATATTGTTATAAATAAATAAATTAATCAACTAATAATTTTTAAATTAAGGTGTAATTCCTGTGCATATGTCCTAAACTAGAATCTTTCAACACCCCAAGGCTTACAATACAAAGGAATATTTGCTTTCAACATAACATACCCAAACCAAATTTAATCACAGAGAAGGTTTTTAAAATTTCTTTTGGTAGTAAAAGCAAACAATCCTTTTTTTCTGTTTTAACTTTAAATGCTATGATTTATATATAATTTATTAATATATTAAATTAATTATATAATAATTTGTTAAAATCAAATTCTTTACCTTAACTATTTCAACTGTAATTGACATTAATATATTAAAAAAATAATAGTTTAATTAATATTAAGCTAACATGAAATTCGTTATGCTATTGATTTAATTAAATTTTATAAAACTGTTGATTTTTAATAGAATAGGTATGGAATGTTTAATAATTTTTAGTTTAACATTACTATTTATAAAATAACCCTGAAGGTGTTAGATCATGAACATGTATACTTTTATATTTATGTGTAAATTGTTATATTTCTTGCTTGTTGATTATAAAACATCTATCTTGCTATAATTAGTAATTAACTTAACTCGTAGTTAGATCAGTCTTACTTTATTTATTTCTGGATTTCGGTTTTGTTTATTTGTTGTATAACTGCAAAATGTTTGATTTACATAGTTATAGATTTATCTTTCAACTATCTTGAAAAGTGAAATATATATATATATATATATAATAATAATATATATATAATAATAATATATATATAACATAAAACTAAGGTTGTAGAATTTGCTTCTGGTGTAATCTATTAGAAGCACTGTACAAATTCAATAAAACAACTGATTTAATAAATTTAAATAGTATAATTTTCGTTGCATTTTATTATTTAATTTACTTTTATTAAAACTGCATGTTGATAGAAAACCCTTTAGTTAAGTTAAAACGTCTTAATGTTGTATATGATGATTTTTTTTAATTCATAATAGTGGTTTGCATTCTGTACATCATTGAAATGATTTTCCATGTTAAATAAATCTTCGTTGACACATTGTGGGAGTATGTTGCTTTCAATTACAAGTTTTTTCTTAAAACAATAATTATTTATTTTTAATAATCTTTCTGATTCTTGGCAGATCTGAAAATCATTAAAATTTATTGTTTTTACCAGAAAATAAATAAATGTATCATTTTACTTTTAATACTCCGTTTGAGGGATATGTCAATTGTCCAAGCCATTTTTCTGAAATTATTTGTAATTAAGTTTTAGTTCAGATATATAAAAAAGAACCTTTGAGTTTTGTAAATGTTAACACCATCTAAATTTTTCAAACTTAGTAAGTAGGCTTTCATTTCATAAAGTTTATCTATAGTGGCTGTCAGGTTGCTCTTTGTAATGTATTGCTTCCATTCTGTATCCAGTATCAGTTTGCTGTTCAATATATGGAAAAGATCATTGATGTTTTTCACAAAAGCTATTGTTTCAGAAACGTCAGAAAAAAACATAAAATGCGTTTAAAAGTTCCAATGATTTAGCCGCAGAGCAACTAAAGACTCAAGATGCATATTTAACTTTCATCTTATGCTTTTCAAAATTTACACGATTTTTGGTTAATTTATTTTTTAGTTTCATTTTGATTTGTTGCTGATAATTAACTAAGTTTACGATATGATTCCATTTGATTGGATTATTATTATAAAATATCATATAAGAATGAAACATATTCCTCATTAATTTCAGCATGTGGCATGCATCAAATATGATATATATTTTCTGGCCAGTTGTTGGGGACAAGAAACTTGTTTGCATGTTTGGAAATGTGAAAGAGCATCCAAGCAATCCACATGCCGAAACATTAGTGGCCAACCCATCCATTACCAGTGAAACAACCCTAAAAAATAAATATAGTGTATAAAAATTTTAACATATCTTTAAGAAAAACAAATGTTGTTTACCCTAACTCTAGCATTATGTAACTTATCAATGGCTTTCTCTATAAAATCTTTCAACTTGTGAGATAATAACTTATTTGTATAAAAATAAGCTATTGAATGCCTCCAAGCTTCTCTCAGACTAACAACATAAAAAATCAACATCTCTGAAGCAACTATGTCTTCATTCCCATCTCCATAGTTAACATATCCAATAAAGTCATCTTCACAAATAAACAATGCGTTTGATAATTTATGCTTAACATTTAACATCAATAAAATTAAATAAATTGAAAACAAATGTTTATGGTGAAATGGGAAACAAAAAAAAATCAAGAAATAAATAAAATACACAAGGAATAAACTAGCATATGCTACCAAAATATGCTATATTTTAAACTCACAATTTTACAAACAAAATATATTTTAAAAAACCTACCAATTTTCTTATTATACGTTATTTGAGGCTTTATTGATATCGAATCAAGGATTAAAGAGCATTTGCAATATTTTATTTGCTGTACATATTTCTTTATATAGCAATATTAGTTTACAGAATATCATTATTAACAAAATTTTACTTGTTCAATGTTCTCGAGTGTGGCAGTGTTAGTCCACTTTTTCTTAAAAATTGGTATGCATGAGGACCATGAAAATGTAGCTGCATATAAAAGGTCTTGTAACTATCATTATATACTTTGTTAACTCTTTTTAAATGGTATGAGTTTTTTATCTAGAAGCAAAAAAAAACAAAAAATTAATCAAAATTTCAATTCATTTTGCTATGGTTATATAACATAAAACCTTTGTATGTAGCTAATTCATTTTTTAATTTATTACATTCATTCATAAGTTTTCTTATTGTCGCCTGCAGCATTGTGATTCTGGACTTGTAATACTTTGATTGCCTTTGCTGTTGCTTGATGAGATGTGCATCCATTGAGCAAAACATCTAAATATGATTTAAATTTGAAAGTAAATAGCTGAATTTAAAATTTTTCATCATATATATATATATATATATATATATATATATATATAATATATATATATACCCAATAAATTAAAATAAAGAAACTCTTTGTATTCTGTATTTCTTATGACAAAAAGCCATTTTACAAGGGCATCCTAATAATAATAATAAACCCATAATATAAAAACAATATAAAAAATATTTGAACATTAATTAACGATAGTTAATAAAATAAAAAGTCAAAAATTTTAAATAAAAATACAAAAAAGCAAAGCCTCTTTTCTTCTACTAGTCTGGGCCTAGTGTCTCCTGGCACAATGTAACATTTTTAAAACTTTTAAACAAATAAACTTTATAAAATCAAAATGGATCAAATAATAAATGATTGCAAAAATTTTAAATAATTCAGTTAAATTATTAAGTTAAAAATCGATTAAAACTGCCTACAAAAAACAAAGCAGCAAAAAACGTTTACAAGAATGCCGCCGGTGGCACATTAACAGGGAAGAAGCTAAATATAGATTGGAAAACGGAAAAACCCATTGACAATTTGGTGCTAAAAAAGTTTGCTTCCAAGTTTCCTGACCTTGAGATGAAGGTCAACACTATAAAGCCATTCTTATATACAGTGCGGCTCAAAATGATAGGAACGGTGGATTTTTTTAATTTTCTTCAAAACAAATGAGCCATAATAAATAATATTTACATAGTATATTTCTATTAACATTTAAAACACAATAATGTAAACAAATTTGTTTAAAGCTTTATAGGTCTTAGATAACAGAATAATAATGATTTTAATGATCTAAATGCTGGGTCAAAATGATAGGAACAAATGAAAAAAAAATTTATTTTTTAAAGTGTATAGTAAATAGAATAAGTTTCAATAGTTTATTTTGTTTCCTTTATTTTCAATAACACTTAGACACCTTGCATTCATGGATTTACCCAGAGATTTTAACAAATTTTCATCAATTTTGTCCCACTGCATTAAAATTTCATTTTTTAAATCTGTTAGATTTTTAAATTGTCTTCCATTGGCATAAACTTGTCTAACTAAACACCCCCACAAGTTTTCAATTAGATTGAGATCAGGTGATAATGCTGGCCATGGTAAAACATCAATTTTATGGGTCTCTAGGAATTCTTTAGTGGCTTTGGATGTATGAATTGGGGCATTATCATGTTGATATATAAATTTTTTTCCATGTTTTGACTGTGCAAAAGGTATCATACATTGTGAAAGAACATTTATATATGCCTGAGAATTTTGGCGTCCTTGAAGAATTGACAGTTGGCTTTTTCCTTTGAATGAAAATGATTTGATTTTTTTCTCAAATTTCAAATAATTGCATTTCTTTAGACATCTTTTTACAGTACTGATACTACAGTTTAATTGTAAGTCATTTAGCAACTCAAGAGAACTGCTTGTACCCTCACAGGCTTTTCGAATTAGAAGTGCCTTTGTTCTTCTTGTTAGTTTTTGTGGCCTGCCAGTACTTTTTTTGGTTCCATAAGTCAATGGATTTTTTAAAAAATTAAAAACAACTGTTTTAGAAACGTTTAATGATTTTGAAATTTTTCCCAGACTATATTTTTTGGATCTTAATGTAAAAATTTGAATTGTTTGGTTTCTGTTTAGCTTTTTCCCTTTGCCCATAATGAAAAACAATTTTAACCAATTTCAAATCAGTCGAAAACGCGCTTAATGCAAACAAAACAACGTTTGGTGAGATCTAATGTTCATACTATTTTAAAACTGCTGCTTTAAACTTAAAAATAAAATCGTTCCTATCATTTTGACCTGTTGTAAAATCGTATTTTTTGAATAATCTGAATTAATATTTTTTAAAAACAATAATTTTCTTATGTTTCATTGTTTGTTTAAATGTTGAAAATTAGGGGTAAAAATTTTAATTAATTCGGCACAATGGTTTTGAAGAAAATGGAAAATACCAACCGTTCCTATCATTTTGAGCCGCACTGTATAATTCAATGGATATTACATCATTTTCAAGGTTAATTTTATAACTAATTTTTCCGTAGTTATATAGATATCTAAACAAAGTAAGTTTGAAATTTCAAACCTAGATTACGAATACGAACATAAAAAACTAATTCGAAAGTTGGAAAACCTAAAAAAGAAAAGAAATAATTTAATAACAGCGATCGATTTCAACAAAATATGAATAAAAGAGAACCTACTGCCGAATTACACAGACATATATATATATATATATATATATATATATATATATATATATATATATATATATACACACACATATACATATATCTGAATCTGGTTTTAAATTTTGAAGTTGAATAAAAGAAGTTTCCATTGTTATTAGTATTTACTAAATTTAGATTTTTTGTAAAAATTGTCCTTTTTTAAAGTAAAAAAGTAAATGGGAGCCCTACCTATAGGTTAAATCCATGTAACTCTCTTTATTCTATCTATGAATCAGAATTGGTTAATTATAAATATCTACTATTCTCTAAACACTCTACTTTTCTTAGAAATTCTTTAACATCTGTCTCAACATCTAAAAATAGCTGGTCTGCTCTATCTAAACTTCTTCATAAGAAATCCTCTCACTCATTTTTTTCTGCTCAACAGTTTCATGACTTTTTTGTAAATAAAATTACTTCTTTAAGAACATCTAAGTCTAATTTTTCTTCTCATAACTTTACTAAACTTACTACTGAATCTTTTTCTGTATTTTCTCCAATAGATCTTCTAGAACTAACTAAAATTATTAATTCTATGTCGTCTACAACCTGTTCTCTATATCTACTTCCTTCTAATTTACTTAAAGAATTTTCTTCAATATTTTATCCAATCACTCTCAAATTAGTTAATTTATCTCTTTCCACCTCCAAATTTCCTACTTCTTAAAAAAATTCTATTGTTATCCCTATTCTTAAAAACTCATCCTTAGATCCTACCTCTTTATCTAATTATAAACCTGTTACTAATATTACTTTAATCTCTAAAATAATAGGAATAGTAGTTTTCAATCAACTGTCATCCTATTTAAACTTTAACTCCTTGCTACCTGTATCTCAATCTGGTTTCAAACCTGCTCACAATACTGAAACTACAGTATTCAAAATACACAATGATATCCTCCTCTCTAGTGACAATAGTAATCTTACTTTTCTTCTTGCCCTTGACTTTTTCTCGGCTTTTGATACTGTTGATCATACTATTCTCTTGAGACTGCTACATCTTTCTTTTAATATTACTGATTCTTGTCTATCTTGGTTTTCTTCTTATCTCTGTAATCGTTTTTCTTCTGTTGTTCTCAATAATTCTACTTCTAACTCCTCTACTCTTACTTTCGGGATACCTCAGGGTTCTATCCTTGGCCCTCTTCTATTTATACTCTATACTTCTGAACTACCTCGTATTATTAATAACTTTTCTTTCTCTAGTCAACTATATGCTGATGATTCTTACATTTATACTTCTTTTCCTCCATCTTATCTCAATAGTGTTCTTCATAATCTATCTCGATGTCTTTCTTCTTCTTCTTTCTAAGTTTGAATTAATTTGTTTTAATAAATCTAAACACTCTATTACTATTCTTCCTATTATCTTACATGATTCTAAAACTCTTGATGTCTCTCATAAGTTTCGTAGTTTAGGTTTTATCTTTGATTCTACTATGTCTTTTTCTTCTCAGGTTAATAGTGTTGCTAGAAGCTCTTACTTTCATCTACGTAGAATATAAAACTTTTGCCTTTTCTTGATGATCCTAGTCTTCTCCTTCTTGTTACTTCGTTAGTCTTATCTAGGATTGATTATTGTAACTCGCTCTACTTTGGTCTTCCTGACTCTATACTCTATCCTTTAAGTAAAGCTTTTAACTCTGCTGCTCGTCTAGTTGCTCGTGCCCCTTTCTTTTCTCATATATCTTCATATCTTGTTCTCTTGCACTGGCTACCTATAAAATATAGAATAATTTTTAAAATTTGTACGTTTATGAATAAGTCACAATCTAAATTATTTCCTAAGTTTTTATCGGATAAATTATTTGAACCTAAACGCCCCGGTTTACGATCGTCTTCTTGTCCGCTTTTTCTTTACTCGTGTTAAACACTCTTTTGCCAAAACTGCTTTTGCTTTTTCTGGTTTTTTTCTCTGAAATTCTCTACCTATTTCTCTTACTACTTCTCAATCACTTGCGAAGTTCAGAGCGGATCTCAAGACCCATCTGTTTTCAAAATTCATTGAGGAGCGCTGTTGAACATCGCGGAAATAGTGTTTTATAAGCTAATTGATTGATTGATTGATTGATTGATTGATTGATTGATTGATTGATTGATATGTATTCAAAGCATATGGACCTCCATCTGATAAGCGCTTGTTTTATTTAACGCTAATTTTAAAATCTTTGTCTGAAAACATTCTGGCTAACTTCACGATCCTAACTTTTTATTCTAGCTTAACTGTCTTGTTTTCTGTTTGCTAGGTTGACGATTAATCAAATAAACAAGTTTTTCTCTCCATCTTTCTGGATTCAGAGAATTGATTATGTGGTACGAAATACTTCCAAGTGCGATAATCGTTACCGCAGTTTTATGGGTACCCCCAATCGCACAAGTTGGAATAAATTGGCTCTGTTTTAATGGAAAGGTCATTCATTTAATTAAATAAAAATAAAATGATAATGATTATAATTACTCATTTTTTCATTACATAACTGTAGAGTAAATGTAAAATGGCGCTAGCGCTGAATAAAAAATGTTCTTACACTTAAAAGACTAAGACAGTTTTCAAAAACAACACAAAATAATATTTACTTGGTAAAGCTAGCAAACGTTCATTAGCAAATGTTCAGTTTTAAGCTATTTTGGAGAAAAAAAGGTATGTATGTTAAAATTAAATGTATTGTCTTTGTCAAAGGTCAGAGCTATGAGGCATGTGAATTCGATACCATCGTAAAAGGTGTGAGGATTGTACAAGTTAATGCTATTGAGCGTGAGAGGCCGCACGGCGACTTGGTCCGTACGATGCTATAAGTTGTGTGAATCGCATGTCAAATTAGGCTTTGAAATGCTATAAGGCCTAAGAATCCAGCATGGAGAATTCTGTTATAAGTCGTGAGGAACACGCAAGACAATTTTGACATTGAGATGCTATATGCACTGTCTAATGCAACGTTTAGACAGTGTAAAGCTTGGGAATCGCACAACGAATTTGACATTGAGAATAGACATTTTAAGTTGTGAGGAACCCGCTCGCTGAATTTGACGCTGAGATGCTATAAGGCTTGTGAATCGCAGGCTGGCGGATACGACGTTCAGACAGTGTGAAAAGCACAAGAATCGCATGAATTCGACGTTGATATAATTGAAGTCTGTACAACAAAGATGATGCTATTTTGACAATACAGGACGAAAAGTCACAGTGCAAAAATATTTTTTACTGCATTTTCTATTTTCTTTATTTAACAGCTAAGTTTTAAACATCAAAGCAGTTCGAAGTTATTGGGATTTATCCTCACTCACTCATAGTTTTTACAAACTTTAAATCGTTTTGATAACAAACGATGAAACTCTCTTTAATTGTCTTATAGAAAAAAAATATTGTTGCATGTATTGTTATCTTCACCATACAAACCTAAACTCCTTTTACGAATATTCTTTATTCTCTCCTATGTCATTAATCCTTTTAAATTGTCATGATAACAGTTAGGTGCGATTTAGGTCGTCTGACCATGGGGATCTGGTTATTCCGTCCATTAGTTCCTCAAAATATGGACAACGGAAATTTGCTGTAATGGCGGGTGAAATTTGGAACTCACTTCCTGTACAGTTGAGGGATGGTTCCATAACAGATCGACGACTGTTCAAAAAAACATTGAAACATCATTATTTCAACTCTGTACACCAAAGAAAGCCCTTCTGAAGTCTTTTCAAGAGAGGCGCCATACAAGTTCTGATACTGATTATTATAACACTGATCATTCTCTATTAAATGGTTGAAGAGCTTTGCCTACTCTGGATAACTTAGATAAATGAATCTCCAAGAAGCAACTGTTGACAAAAAAAAGCTACCGAAATTGAGTCATTGCCAATAGTTTATAAGCTATAATATATAACTTTTCATTTCAAGAATTGTTTACAAAATTTGTATTTTTTATTGTTATCATTATTCAAGACTAAAGCCCGGAGATGGTTCGACCATCCTGAAGATTTTCATGCTTATTTGAGAGACAGAAGATTGACAGGCAGCGAATACAAACCAATTGTATGTTTTCATTCGTTTGTTGCATAAAATTAGAATATTGGTTACATTTTTTAAAGATTGCGTTATCCTTTTCTGTTCATCCATCTAGTTATTTGCTATTCATCTGTTATTCTTAATTTTTGCATTTTGACTTAAATTTTATGTGTAATCCCTGACTTTAAATTTAGGATGAATATAAATATATTTTTGGTCCTGGTTATGACATTAAACTGACCCTCACTGCCTTGTGAGTGATGTTGGATCATCAAAGGCTAGGCCCACCGCTTATAACTGGTTGCGTAAGGAACGGCGTCCTGCGTAAAAACTAGCCAAAAAATAATACTTATGATGACGGAAATAACAATGGCCCTCAGTATCCGGCAGAAGAGGGTGCGAAGAATCTCCGGAGACCCAGTCCATGGGGTTGTGGTGCAAGGCCCTGTGGATGGTCTGGCTACTGGCACCCCACTCTATAATGTGGCGGTGCAAGGCACTATAGATGAAAGGACTACTTGTAGACCAATGGTTTGGAGGTTTGGTACCTGGAATGTAGGCACGTTGACAGGAAGAAGTTTGGAAGTGGTGGAGGAGCTGCAGAGGAGAATGGTTGACGTGGCTGCATTACAGGAGATCAGATGGAAGGGTGAGGGTACAAGGTTTGTGGGGGCTAAAGGTGGAAGATATAAGTTGTGGTGGAAGGGGGATGATGGTACGGGAGGAGTTGGTGTGATGGTAAGAGAAGAGTTGGTGGAGAAGGTGTTGGAAGTGAGGCGGAGAAGCAATGGTGTAATTGTGGTGGTGATGGTGTTTGGAAAAGTAATAGTGAGGGTGATATCAGGATATGCTTCGCAACAAAGTAGGAAGGAAGAGGAGAAGGATAGGTTTTATGATGATGTTTCTGACGAGATTGGGCAAGCGGGGTTGGATGAGTTTGTGGTGTTGTTGGGTGATTTGAATGGTCATGTGGGAGCGGATGCAGACGGATATGAAGGTGTACATGGGGGATGGGGATATGGTATACGGAATGAGGAAGGGCGTAGAGTGTTGGATTTGGCGGATGCACATAACATGGTGGTGGGGAATACCTGGTTTACAAGGGAACCAGCGCGATTGATTACATATTGGTCAGGGGAGCATAGGTCGATGATAGACTATATATTGGTAAGGGCCAAACATAGGAAGTATGTGAAGAATGTGAAGGCGATACCTGGTATGCTGCAGCATAGTATGGTTGTGATGGATGTGGAGGAGGAAGAAGGATAAGTTTGTGGCAAAGAGAAAGACATGGAAGTTGCAGGATGCAGAGGTGAGGAAGGCATTTGAAGTGAAGGTGGCTGAAAATTGGGAGAGTGGTAAGGATGGAGATGTTTGGGAAAGATACAGGGACTGTGTGTTGGCTACGGCAGATAAAGTATGTGGATGGACGAAAGGAAAGTGTAGGCATGGTGAGACGTGGTAATGGGATGAAGATATAAGAAGGGTTTTAGAGGTCAAGAAGGAGAGGTTTAGGGTATGGAGAAGGGACATGACGGAGGAAGCGGAGTTTGAGTATAAGAAGGCTAAGAAGGTTACAAAACAGGCAGTGGCAACTGCAATGACGAAAGCATCAGATAGGTTAATGAAGGAAATGGAATTTGATGTGAGTTCGAGGAAAATGTTCAAAGTAGCAAAGCAGTCAATGAGGGATAGGAAAGATGTTATAGGGAATGGATGTGTTTGGGATGGATCTGGCAAGTTGTGCGTAGATGAGGAGGAAAAAGCTCAGGTGTGGAAAGCTCATATGGAAAGGTTGATGAATGAAGAGAATGAGTGGGATGGAGATGTGGAATCCGCGGTCACACACGGACCTATAGAGAAGGTGACGATGGAGGAAGTAGAGAAAGCAGTTAGAGAAATGAAACTAGGTAAGGCGACAGGGGTTTCGGAAGTGGCGGCAAAACATATAAAAGCGAGTGGGGTGATAGGAATTGAAGTTATGATGAGAATTGCTAACAGTATGTTTGATGATGAAGGTATACCTGAGGATTGGCGACACAGTGTGTTGGTGCCGTTGTATAAGGGCAAAGGAGATGTGAGAGATTGTGGGTCATATAGGGGTGTGAAATTGCTAGAGCACGGAATGAAGGTAGTGGAGAGGGTGCTTGAGAGGAGGTTGAGAAATATGGTGACAGTTAATGAAATGCAGTGTGGGTTTATGCCTGGTAGGGGAACGGTGGATGCGTTGTTCATGGTGAGAATGTTGCAAGAGAATTATAGAAAGAAGAAACGAAGATTGTACATGTGTTTTGTGGATTTAGAAAAGGCTTTTGATCGAGTACCGAGGAAGGTCATTAAATGGGCGTTGAGGAAGAAAGGAGTGAATGAGAGACTTGTTAAAGCTGTGATGCAGCTGTATGAAGGGGCAAAGACAAAGGTGAGGGTTGGAAGGGGGATGTCGGACGCTTTTAGTGTTAAGGTAGGAGTGCATCGAGGATCAGTGTTATCACCGTTTCTGTTTGCAATTGTGATGGATGTTGTGTGTGGAAACATAATGGAGGGGTTGTTATTTGAGATTTTGTATGCAGATGATTTAGTCTTGATGGCTAATAGCATGAAAGAATTGCAGTTAAAATTTGACAGATGGAAAAGTGTTATTGAAAAGAAAGGGTTAAAAGTTAATATTGGTAAGACGAAGGTAATGGTGAGTGGGGAAGGTGGGGAGCGAGTAATAAGTAAAATAGACCCCTGTGGGGTATGTGACAGGAGAGTGAAGGCTAACTCGGTATTGTGTATAGGCTGTCAGAAATGGGTGCATAAGAGATGTAGTGGTGTGAGGGTGGCACTGAAAAAGGTGGAAGGCACGTTCAAATGTAAAAAATGTGTCCATGGTGTGATTAATAGGACGGACGCAAGGACGGGGTTGAGTGGTGGTATTGAAAAAGACGTATACATTAATATGAGGAACATTTCAGAACATTTTTTCTTTATATATCGGCACAGTTGTGCTTCTGTTCCATTTTACTGGTAGTATCGATTTACTCTACATCTCCCGAAAGATATGTAAAAGGGCTCGGAAGCTTACCATACCAGATGCCTCGATTATATCATTTGTAAGTCCAGACGAACCAGCCGCTTCACCCTCCTTCATTGCCTTAGGCGCATCCGTAAACTCCTCAGCTGTGATGTCCTGAATCGGTTCTTCCACCGAAAGTGTATCAAAGTTCACCCCAATAGGGTTTGTTTCATTTAATAACTGATCGAAGTAATTCTTCCAGTGATATTTCACCTCATCCTGCAAGGTTATTATGATGCCTTTATGCATGTGGCCGAATTTGTTCGCCTCTACTTCCAATCAGCCATACCTTGCATTGATTTGCACGAGTTATCGCAACCTGACATTTCGCTTCTGTGTTCTTTGATTGCTATGTCTTTCGATCTTCGCTAGTCTTCGTCTTCTGCCATTGTTTGAAAGCTGCTTTCTTGTTGGCAATAGCATTTTGCATCGTTTCGTTCCACCACCAAGTTTCGCGGTTGGGCTGGCGTTTTGGTCCAGATTTTCCACATACAGCTGTTGCAGCGTTCACTAGGGTGTCCTGAAAAGATTTCTATGTTGTGCTACCTTCTCCAGACGATCCAGCTGTGCCGATACCAACTCGAATTTCTTCTTAAACATGGGGTTCTTCCGTGTCCATGTCTTTATTCTAGTAGGCATTCGATCAATCACACGGCGTGATCGTTCCAGGATCATATCGGCTACCAGCAATCGATGTTGAGAGATGTATACTTCGCAGGAATGACTGGTATTCCTGAATAGTCGTCTGTGTTGTTGCCTGACGACAATAAAGTCAATTTGTATGCATGACATCTTCTCGCTTTTATTTGCGATCAAATGTTCTTCTCTCTTCTTGAAGTGGGTGTTCAACAGGGAGAGTTCATGGCCTTCAGCAAATTCCAGAATCCGTACACCGTCTTTGTTTTGAGACCCGTAGCCAAAGCCTCTATGGACAGCGTGGAACCCATTTGCTTTATCTCCAACATGGCCGTTGAGGTCGCCACATATCAATCGTATCTCTGATGATAGTGTTTACCTGACGGCATCTGAGAGTGTGTTCCAGAAGTCATTTTCGGCGTCTTCAGCTTTACCAGTCTGTGGTGCATACGCAGAGGAAACAGTCAGAACCTGTATTCCCATTAAGCTTGAGCTGATTCGAGTCACCTCCAGTACATTTTGTGCAAGTGATTCCCGTATGAAGATTCCCACTCTATTTTGGGCTGTCTTTTGGCCATACCAGAACAACTTGTAACTCCTAATGGGAAAGACACCATTTGATTTCCATCTTGTTTCCTTGAACAGATGTCAGCCCTTCGCCTTTCCAGCATGTCGATCTCCATCGTCCAGTAAGCGATCCAGTATTTAAAGTGCCAAGTCTGATATTCTAGGAAGGGAAGCCCGATTTTCCGCAACATCCCTCCACTGTTGCGTACTTCCTGGATATTGTCAGCCTTTGACCTGACCATTTAAGGTCTTCCAGGGAATAGGGTTTTTTTTCTTTTTTTGTAATGACATGGAAGATGTTTGGGTCAAAAAATTTTTTATATCTGGAATTGCCCAATTCCTAACAACAACCACCGGTTATAAGCCTTTTTGCTGGAAGCACACAAGGCAGCGCGATTGCAGTTTATCTCGTACCCACTGTTGTAAGCAGTGCACCTAGGTCCCTGTTCTACAAGGCAGTGGATTTAGAATAGAAGATCATCCACTGTTGGAGCCGTTGTCCTAGGATCCTCCGCTTTTTTCACCTTTGTCTTCTTTTTTCCGGTATAGTTGGTTCGCGGCATCTTATTTCATATTATTCGATGCAATTCCAGATCTCCCTGCCCAGGACTTATAGGAAAATATAGACTAAATAAAAGGATCTAAAGATGCAAGAGATCAGAAACGCCGAGGGGAAAATGCTGGAATTCTGCTGGCCTGTCAAGAATGGTGACAGAAATGAAGGCGACAGGAAATAAGGAAGCAGAATGTCCCTGTGAGCTTCTTAAGTTGAAGGGTTAAAACGGTATATGGTGTGCAAATCTAAAAAAAAGTTAAGAACTACGAAGGTAGTGTGTGTAAGTAATATATTTTCGTTCACCTAGAAAGGATCTAGAATGGGATGATGTTCAGGAAAGTGGTAAAATGGGTAAGGCTGGAGTTTAGAAACGGTAGTTTGTATGCCTATGGAAACTAAAAAGCGGGTAAAGATTAAGAATGACGTTGGAGAATAGTTTGACATGATGATGATGATGAGTAGGTTTGTTTGCTCCCCTCGTGTGGTGACCTCAGAGGTGCTTCTATGGAATGGTTTAGACGTTTCTTAAGCTCGCTTCTCAAAATTCTATCAAATCTTTTCAGATCTACCGTTAAAATATTTCACAATTGTGCATACGCTACTGAAAATCGTCGTACGAGAACGTGGGATCCAGAATCACACCAAGATCAGACACAGTGGTCTTGAAGTTGGAAAGTTCAGCTTGTGTAAAGTACCCGGACACAATTTTGCGTTTTGTTTACTTTCAACCTCAACTTGTTTTTTGTCGTCCAGCTATTAATTATTGTAATATTATAATTAGATGAAAAATAAGGCTCGAAGACTCAACAACATTTGCAGTGCCCCTGTGAACGTCATGTAGAGCAGAAGACCTAGGACTGATCTCTGTGGTACTTCCAGAATTAACTCCGATTTCATCCTGTCAGTAATGACCAGATGACTTCTTTGCATCAAGTAAGGCTAGAATCATTGATGCGCTAAACCACATATTCCATATGAACTTAAAAAACCTTTCAAAAGGATGTCATGATCCACATCACCAAGCGTAGTGCTATCTTCAATGTGTGCAACTTTGTTATCACCAATGGCATCACAAACCAGACATCAGAAAACACCTTTAACAGTGCTGTCTACATTGAGTGGCCTTTTCAAATATCAGACTAATTTAATTAATTAATCAACAAATCTTTTGTCCATAACTGTACCTTTTACTAATGGACATGGTAAGATTGACGTGGAGGTGGGTTGTACCAAGTCAGCCTGTCCGTTACTTTTACTTTATACTAATTGACATATTTCTCGAGAGATAAAAAAAGCCTCCATTGTTTTAGCTTCTTCATGTGCATGATTTTGTACCAATGACGTGTGTGTAATCATGTGATTAATAATAATTTCCGAATTATATACGGTTCTCCAACAAAATCATGTGGTTAATAAATAATCAATGGTTTTATCAAAATACAGAAATGTTAGTGTACGTTTGAGTGCACTGCTTCAGAAAAAAATATCAAAGAATGCCATTATAGTTTTGGCTAGCCATTTCTGATCTATTATAATTTTAAATTGGTATAATTTTTAGAATATGCAATAATAATTAAGAGTTTGTTCAAGTTCTAAGAATATTTTCCACTTTTAAAGTTGTTCTTTTTGAAAATTTCTGAAAAATTATAATCAATGATTTATGGTTTCAGAGCATTTATTAAGCAACTCTAAATGATGGTAATGTGTATGTGTGTCACAATAGAATATTGATCGTCAATACTGTATGAAAATAAACAACAGTGATTATTTTATTTGCAGGGTTTGGAAGGTTTACCTGAATCAAAATAAAATAACAGAAAATTTGCAACAATAATAATCAATAGTTTCATCCACAATACAAAAATATTTGATTATCTGATTTTAATGTTTAAAGAGCGTTTAATAAATAATAACAAAAATATCGTTTTGTGTGTAGAAACAAATTATTGATTGTACAAAGTGCTATATGATACAATTTTTCAATAATGCCATGTTAATTTTTTGAGTTTTGAAACACTTTACTGAAGCTAGAGTGAGAGGCTTTGTCTTTCACATCTTTGAATCTTGTCATGAAGTTCATTTTTGTTGTTTCTAACTGGTTGTATGTTTTGGAAGATGTGTCACATGACTTTTCTGCAGATATTACCTTTTGTGTATAGGCATTTGTTTCTTCTGCTTTATCTTCAAGCTCTTTGATCATCGACATGACAATATTGGCTCTGTCTGGAGATATTGCTTGAATGTCATGATGCAAACATCTTAGCCCTGGCAAAACAACTTCTTGTGAAACTTGATGACAAACAAAACAGCATGAACAGTTAATAAAAGCTTCTAATAATTTTGTAGTCAACTCGTGTTTGAGCGAATGTTTTATATTTAACGAAAGTTGGCTTCGGACTGCCAAAGCTGTTAATCTTGGAAGAATAAACTCGTCTCGAAATTTTGATTCCACTTTAGGACCTAATCTACCTAGAGTTTTTATTACTTCAATGATTATAAGATTTTTTTCAATGAAGTTTTGGTTGTCTAAAATTAGCTCACCCGTTTTCATTGTAAATGACGATTCTGACATGAACGCTTGAAGTTGCAATTTAACTTTTTCCAAAATTGCTGCTGATGATGCAGAATTAACATCCATTTGTGAAAAGACGTATTCAATTATAGCCCCAAATGATGATACAGTCGCAGCTTTGACAGTGTCATTAGCATCACTAGCTAATGTAACAAGAGCTGGAATGACTTTACTACTTAACATAGTTTCTGACAACGAGCAAGATGTAATAAAACATTCAAATAGTTTTGCAGTAGACACCCTTACTAATACATTAACATTTAGCACTCCGACTTCCCATAAAAGTTTTATCAAAATATTGTGGTAATTTGTTAATTCTAATACATCATGTGAGTGCAATTGAGAACATAACTCTTCAAATGTTGATTGAAGTGAGGCAAGTGATGATTGATGAACTGACAGTGCTACCATCAAATCTTGTAATTTTTGATTAAAATCGGGCAATTCAGCACAACTATTTTTAAGCGCTGGATAAATTCCAGCCAAGTATATAGGTACCAACGATTTATTTAAGGGAGACTGAGAATTTGCAAGTGATTTGTCTAAATGAATTTCATCTAAAGGAATTACAAAATACTTTTCGAATTTTTTTACAAGTGTCACATAACTGAAATTGGCTCCAAACATTTGTGTAAGTTGCCTAAAAAAACTGACCATGGAATGTAAAGCTGGATGTGATATTTCCAATCTACTTGAAATATCTACAAAGTCGATGATGAAGTCATTTATTACCCAATCACACGCATCCCACATTTCAAACCATTCTTGATCCACATAACCATAAAAAGACTTCAACATTATTTTGACTTCTTGTGGCTCTTTGTCAAGAATTACAGATAATGTGTCGACAATATCAGTATAATTAACTTCAGATTTAGAAACTTGCTTGGTTGACATATCATCTAATTTCGCATTAAATTCTTTCTCAGATAAAAACTGTTCACATGTTTGAACAAGATGACATAGCAAATAAGGTAACATCTGGTGCAGGTTCAAAATGTAGTCGTTAAATAATTTCTGATCCTTCACAACGCTTGAGGTTGGTGATACGGTATATATGCAATTAGTGATATTTTCTAAAATAGACATTTTAAAAAATTCTTCTAGGATTTTCAAATCCAAAGACCATTTAGCAAGTGAAGGTAAAAGCAAAGTTCGAGTTGCACACAGAACTTTATCAGATTTGTCACTGAAGAATTTAGTTAACATTTTAACCACTTCTTTATATTTATTGTCATTTTCAAAGTTTGAAATTAAAATTGCCAGACTTTGAACAACAGCTTCTCTCACATCTTCATCATTATCTTCTGACATCTGCTTGACCATTGAAAAAAGCAATGAACTTCTAGTATCATTGATAACATACGGGCTCAGATAACCTGATATTTCAGCAATCAACAACCTATGTTCTCTATACTTATGAGCAATCTGTTCCCAACAAAATGGTAGAAGCTCAGCTTCTGTTCTGATAGGACCTACATAATTGGAATAAGTTAAACAACCATTTGTAAGCATAAGTCTTTGCTCTTGATTAGGTTTCTTAATTAAGTTAAAAAACTGACATAAAAGTTTATCTCTAACATGTGGATCAGAATGCAATGTCATTGTGTAAGTCAAAATAGGAATTAATTCATCACGTTTTGAGAGTATAGTATTAGATATTATATTTGGCAAATTGAAGGCCAAAATATCGATAATTTCTATGAGTTTTATAAATTTGACATCAGTAATATAGTTGAAAACTGTTTTTTTTTGGTCAATTAACTTGATCAAATTCATTTGGAATTTGCTGATTTGTTTTAATTGGTGATGTTCATATTTGACTGAATCATTCTGAAGGCTATTTGGTCTTTCTAATATACTGCTGGCTTCACTGACAGCAAGTGTCACGTTGCGGGATTCATCTAGTTTTAAATTTGTAATTTCATTTTTTAGTATACAATTTTCTTCAACCAACTTTTCAGTAACAGTTTCTAATTCATTAATTTTTGTTTTCAATATTTCAATGTACTCCTTGCATTTGATGAAGTCCGAATTATTCTGTAAGCTTTCATCTGCTTGAATGTGCGTCATACATTGAAAGTCATGCATTTCTTTTTTTGGATATTTGTGTTGCCTGTAATCACGATAAAGGCAAATTAGATTAGATGGCTTACATATGTTAATGCCAACATCATCCCAATCATCAAAATCTTGATTGTCATTTTCTTCTGAAAATGTTACAGAAGTTAATTTGTAATTGTTTTGTAAAAGATATTCATTTATCAAAAAATTGAGTGTTCTTTTTTCAAATGATTCTAGTTCAATGATGTTGACGTTCTTTGGATTTATCTTTGAGATAGGATCTGAATTGTCAACTGATTTTGTTATTGACGATCTTAATAAATTAATTTTTTCGTGGGCTTTTCTTAGTTCAAATTCTAACACTGCTACCTTGTCACTGTCAAACTTATCACCATCATCAGAATACCTAGCAAAATCTAAAGAATCAAATGTTTGAATGCTTGATGTTCTTGTTAACTTGGAAGATTGATAAGAATGAGAGGTTTCAATTTTGCTTTGTTCAAAGTTGGCTGGGTTAGAAAAATAGTCTCTAAGAATGGAAAGTTCTCTGCCAGCTTCCAATAATTCCATATGTAGCTCTAAAGCCGTTAATATGAAATTATTTTTTAAGAGACGGTTAGCGATCTCCTCGACTGTAATTTGAGTATTCGAATCAGCGACATTTTTCACGAAACAGTTGTTAACTTCCTGCATAGTGCTGAATCCAATTTTAATAACTCAACATAGCAGTACTGAACACACAAAAAAACATTAAGCCAGGTCGGTAATTACAACACAAACTAGATACGTCATTGTCCTTACCTTCGAATAATTAAAAACAAATGCATATTGTTGTGTGGGTAGTGTATTTCGTATATGTAGAACATGTATTCTATAAATATGGTGTAATACATATACATATGTAATAATAAAATAATACAAGTGAAGGACGTACAAAGACGGATGCTCACAGCAAACATCAGTGGCATAGTATATCAATGTGTAAAACATACGTATGGTAACTATACTAGCCTCCGACACATTTTGTGTGCGCTTTAGAATCTGGTCTCATTATTTAGTTTCTATTCCTCAAATTTTACAATTTTCACGTGTTTATAGTTTATTAATAAATATTTATTTATTCATTTTTTTAAAAATTCTATTCATTAATTCTATTATTTTTTAAATTCTATTTAGTTTCTATTCATCAAATTTTACAATTTTCACGTTTTTATAGTTTATTAATGAATATTTAGTTATTCATTTTTTAAAAATTCTATTCATTTTGATAATTTTTGAATTGATTTATTTCATGCATTGGCATATGTATTTGTATTTTTTGGGGTCTTATATAGCCAAGCTGTGCTTGATAGGCCTCCTCCTGTTGTAAGATCAAAAAACCGCATTTTTTTGTTAAAAATGAAAAATAGAACTTTTGTTTATTTTTTTTAATCAAAGATATTAGAATGTACTTTTAATTTAATGTTTTTGTCAAATAATTGACTAAAATGGCAAAAGTAGAGGATACAAAAAACCACAAAATAAATCATTTCGCATTCATTGATTAATATAAAATAAAATAAATCACAAAATAAATTAGTTCACATTCATCAATTAAATAAAAGAGATTTTAAATTAAATAATTAAAATAAATGAGTCTTCGTTCTTTTTGACGTTTTCAATTCCTAAACGATCTGTTTTCAATGAACCCGGCAAGTTGTTCCATACCATTGCTCCAGAGACTGCAAAGTCTTTTGCATTTGCAAACGAAAAACAGACACAACCATCAAATTTTCGTTATCAGGTCACAAAATGGCGCCAGTACGTAACGTTGATTTTTTTTGGAAACTTGCATGTTAAACATTCTGGCATGTCAAACATTCTGGCATAAACCCATTCAAAGCATGTACATTATCATAATGACCTTGTAAATTATCATTTTGTCGACAGTAACTCAATTTAGGTCTTTTAGAATTGGAGTCACGTGGTCAAATTTAGCGCCACCTGCAACAATTTTAGCAGCTCTGTTCTGCACCAATTGAAACATTCCAATCGATCTGTCCGGTAAGCCGTGAAACAAGCTGTTGCAATAGTTCAATCCTGAATGGACAAATGCATGCCTTAAAGAGAGCATTGTTGATATGTTTAGTGACTTTTTAACTCGATACAAAAAATATCTCAATATCTTTGAAGTTGAAATCAACAAACTTTCACATAAGATTTTATATGCCTATTCATCGTTAATTTGGTGTCAAAAATACATCCCAAGTTTGTTGCTTTTTCACAAAATTGAATATTTTCATTTTGTATCACAACTGAATTTATATTTACGTTTGATAACCATTGCCAAGTGCCAATAAAAAGATTGCACTGGTTCAACTTGGGACAATTACATGGCATCCATGCATCAAATTTAAACATTCAGTCACCTTTTTAATTTTGAGATGAAATGTCTCAAATTCACTATTAAATATTATCTCAAGGTCATCTGCAAAAGCACGATATTTAAAATCAAATGACTCGATGGCTAAAAATATTGGCGGTATATAATAAGAACAAAATAAGTTCGAGTATAGAACCCTGTGGTACACCAGAAAAAACCAGCTTTGTTTTTAATTGACCATTTCTATTATAAACTTTTTGGTTCTTCCACACAGATAATATTTGAACCAATCAATCACGGAACCCTGTGGTACAACAGAAAAAAACCAGCTTTGTTCTTGATAGACCATTTCTATTATAGTTCGGTTCTTCAACACTGATAAGATTTGAACCAATCAATCAGGGAACCAACATAATGCTGGGATAGACGCAGTCAAATGCTGCAGACATCCAAAAATGTCAGCAAAGAAATGGTTTGTTTATCAATAGCAGCAAACAATTCTGACAAAATATACAATTGTACTGTCTCAGTGGATTGGTGAGGAGATATTCATCCTGCGTACGTGTTTTATAGCTGGTCTAAATGCGCTTTTAAAAGGCGCATGCCTATTCAAGAAGCAGGTGAGCAGAAAAGGAAAGAGTTGGCTGGAGCAGTTTTGGTGAACACGTGGACGTCGAGATAGCGTGCTGGTAACGTCGGTAGAGTTGTATTTGGGTTGGTTTCGTTGCTGAAGTTGAAGTTTAATAACAGTTGACTAACATTTGTTTAAAATTATTGATTTTGCTGTGAAGAGTTATATCTTGGTTTTCGATAATAAAATTTTTTTTGTTACTTAAACGAGAGACGTCACTTACTGTCGCGAACCCCGTTACAATATAAACATATATCTATAAAGTTAAAAAATGTCACTGCATTTTTAATTTTTATCAGTTTCTGGTTCCATTTTTCAATATTTTGTATACTATATATATATATATATATATATACTTAAATAAATGTCACTGCATTTTCAGTTTTTATCAGTTTCTGGTTCAATTTTTCAATATTTTGTATACTATATATTTATATATATATATATATACTTAAATAAATGTCACTGCATTTTCAGTTTTTATCAGTTTCTGGTTCAATTTTTCAATATTTCGAATCGTCTTTTTATCATTGTTTTTCAACTTATTTATTTATATAGAAAACAAAGGTGTTAACTATTTTTTTTATTCATGTTTATCTCATACAGAAAAAGCTTTTTTTTGGTAATCCGTTACCATTTTCAGGAGTATGTTATCAACTATTAGTTGTATCTTATAATTACTTGTATCTTTGCGTTCCTATTTTATTGGCTCCAAAAAATTACTTGATCCATTATTTTTTTTGATCACTAGTCTCTTTGTCGGTAACAAAGTTACTGCATCCTATTGAATATTTATTACAAAGTTCTCTTTGTTTATATACATATGTTCTTTAACCCAAATGATGTTTCTACGCCACATGCTTAACTGGATCTATAAAATAATATCCGCCGAAAGCAATATCTTTAAACAAAATTTTGGTCAAATTAATTTAATTAATTTAGGCACCAATTAATTAATTTAGGCACTAATGAAAAACTAACTAACTTTTCTTCAGCACGATTTCTTATTGGCCTGCACTGACCGCCGACTGAAAAAAAAACTTATTGATTTTCTTTGTGCTATTCAAATCCGTTTTGTTACACATTTTCGTATGTTGGTTGATTGAATAAATCTTTTCCCACTATTACTCATTTTTATTATTTCTTTTGAAACTAAAATATGGCGTTGACATGACAAAATAGCGAATTAGAATCTGGTCTCATTCTATAGTTTCTATAAACAATTATTCATCAAACTCATCAAATTAACTTGAACATTTTTAAATCATCGGTTTACAAAATTTACCGCCCCTGGATACTAGGACTTCTGTTATTCAATTTGTATATTAATGATACGGCATATTTGGGGGAAAAAATTCAAATTATTTCAGTTTGCGATGATACTAAAATGATGAAAATTTGTGATATTGCTGCATTGATATTGGAAATGAGCACCCAGAACTGTTAGATATTGTAAATTGGTTTGATTGTAAATTGGGAGAAGAAGACCTGCGGTATATTATTTTTTGGGTAAAAATTATTAAAGTTTAATTTACGCACAAAAGATAAAGAAACCAAACGAGTACCGCCGATTTAGTCTCATTGCGCCAGCAATATGTCATGGATAGATCGTATTATTTACAATACAAGGTATTAAAAAATCTAGGAATTATCACTAGAATCAAGTTTAGGTTCTCTCGCAGGATAGTAGTCTTACTTTTTTGTAGCACTTTCATATAACTTTATTCTTAGTGTGTATTAATTTGAAGAAAAAGTCCCGATTCTTATATTCTAATAAAAAAAACGCAGAAGCAAACATACATACGAATTTTATTGGGAGTAAAAAAAATTTGAAAGTACGACGCAAAACTTCAAATGGATTAATACTAAAACAATAAAGCAAATTTATCTTCATCAACTGCATTGTTTTTAATAATAAAACGATATTTTCCCAGCTTTAGCGTCATCCTCAATCATTATCTGAATCATTCAACAAGACTTATTAATAAGAAATTATCAATATTTTTATATTTCTGTCTCGAACTACACCGAATTTAATGATCCGTTAAATAATATTTGTAAAGTTCTTAATAAAAAACCGGATGAAACAAAACCTATCGCCGATTTTCAATATTTTAAAAAGAAAACTATGGATTAAATTAACAACTTTTTGTTTTTTTTTAATTTCTAATCAAAAAAGATTTTATCGTAATTTAATATTTTAATTGTTTTTTATCTTAGTTGTTTTTGTGGTTTTTTTACTTCACGTTCATTTTTTTTTAAATTTGTCGTTTGTTTTTATTCTGATATATGATTTGAACCATTTCATGTTCAAATTGTTTATTATGGTTTTTATTTCATGTTCGTTTTTTTTTGTTGTGGCTCTACAGGCAGTTTTGTTGTGGCTCTACAGGCAGTTTTGCCTGCCAAGGTCTACGGTCTACGAGTTAAATAAAATTGAAATTTCGTAGGTTCACTGATTTGATGGATAAACCTAACTGCTTCAAACACAGACTTGTTTAAACGTTTATTTGAATGCCATCAGTAATAGAAACTGAATCATTCGCTAAGAAATATGCAGATAAGCTCGATGTCGCACGATCGTCAATAATTCACAGCGCAACTCAGTAATCCAACAACCCCCCTTTTTTTACAACTCGTGCTGTGCTCATCTACAGCAACATTACAATCAGCGTCACGAAGTTATCTTATTCTAACAATTAATTAGTAATGGAAACATAGAATCAAGGCAATAATTGAAATTAATTATAAAGCATTTCGACTTTTGCAGCAATTATAACAATACTAATGACAACCAGAGCCGCCAAGAGGCTATGTCAGCCAAGTCTGAAATTTTTATACTGAACACGATCAGCGGGTCTCCAAATCAGTATTTTTCCTGTGGTGACCTCTGTTTTATTTTAATTGAATTAAAGATTATTAAAAAGAAACCATCTTTCTAAGACAGCAATTAACGTAGTGATGGTATTCACGTTCGATGAATAATTTTTATTGTCCAATGAGATAAAGAGTTGTGTATAATCTGCAAGTCTAGCCAGGTAAAAATTGTTGCTTGTTTACTGTTGCAGGAGTTGAATACGTGATCAAGTATGTGCAATAGAGCTGTCTCCGAGGAGTGACATGTGCGATATGCCGATTGGAGAGGATTATAATTCGGGTGCTGAAAAATGTAAGGCTGTAGCTTTGTTAGAGCTACCTGTTCAATGATTTTTGAAATTGTAAATAAATTAGAGATTGATTATAATTAGATAAGTCGGACCTGTCTGAATTCTGCTTTTTATAAGCAGAAGGACCTGCGTAGTTTTAAAGCTGTCAGGAAACTGGCTGCGAAACGAGAGATTTGTGAAGATGGAGATGACAGTTGATAAGGTGTTGATGCAATTTGTCAGTACTTGATGTGGGAAAGGGTCTAACGGCGATGTTTTATTGCAAGAAGATTTTATAATGTATTTGATCTCATCAGGTGATACATCATCAATGATTCCGGTGAAGATGATCACAGGCTGAGGTGTTGTCATGATCAAAATCTACTTTACCCAATGAGCCCAAAATTTTGTTTAATATTATGAATATTGTTGATTTTGTTGATGAAGTAATCGTTAAAGTTATTGACTAATGATGAAATTTTATAATTATCTAGATAGGTTGCATTGCGATTCTTGTGTAGGAGTTTATTATGGTTGCGCCAAGTATAGCGCAGGTTCATCGACTTGTTGAGTTTGTTTCTTATCAAACCCACTATGGACTTAAGGATCGATTCTCGAGCCGCTGTTTTTGTATCGTCATAATTTTGTTTATTGAGTGTGATTTTGTTTTTCATTTAGACACGTTCTACTTTGCGCCTGTGTCTTTTTGCATTTCGCGCGCCATTAAATATAAAATTATTTGAATCGAGGTTTTTATGAAAAACTTTGTTGGTAATGGAGCGTGTTTATCGGGGGTTTGAATAACTATGCAGTTGATAAGCAAAACTAACTGAATGAGAATTGAGGAGGAGAGCAGGTCATCATTGAAGTTGGCCTAGTTAACTTTCTTGATATTTTTGTATGTAACTTTATTGGAAGTTATGTTGGGTCGAGGGGCATAGATCGATGTAGTGATGAGGCTATGGTCAGAATATACAGCTGGATAAACAGTGACTGTTGAAATGATGATCGATTGTTGTCTCGATGAAATTAACAGGTCGAGGATATTGCCCTTGTCGTGAGTAGGCGAACAAACATGTTGGAGCAAATTGAACTCATCTATGATCTCAAAAAGTTCAGCGTTAACAGATGCTTGAGAAGGAGCATTGAAATCACCACACACGATGAATTTATTATTTGCTGAAATGACATTGCCAATTAAATTATAAAATTCATGTATTTTTTTGGTGTACTGAAGTTTAACTGCAAGTAATCCGAAACTAGTTGTTAAATATGTGATAATTTTGGTGCACTCTATGTAGTCACGATGGATTATTGCAATGCCACCTCCTTCCTTATCGTCACTTGTGCCTCTATGCTGATGAGTAGCTGAGAAACCGGTGGAGCGATGTCACATTCGATTACACCTGGATCATCAGGTTAAACACGGCACGTCCAATCGATGATCTCGCATTGAGCTATGAATTAGAGCAACTTTACGAGCTGCTGAACGAGTATTCAACAAACCAAAATTTATATGTTGTGAACTCTTGACGAATGACATCAATAGTGAAGAGTTACGTTTAGATTTTGGTCGCCAGATTCTAAACCTGAAGAGATTATTGAGAGTACATCTTGGGACGAATGATTTGCTGGGTCGATATAAACTGAGTAACTGTGAGGATGTGTAGGTAATCACGGTGACGCCAATTAATTTAAACAAAAATTATTTTGTGTTAAAAAGTTAATAGTAGTTCATGAAAATGTCTGAAAAAAAGAACTAAAACAGAAAGAACTATTAATTTTAATTATTAGATTTAGGAACAGAACTATAATTAATAAGTTGTAATAATGTAATTATTGAAAAATTATTGACGTTTAAAATTATTTAAGTTTAACATTATTGAGGTTTATAAAATTAAATTTAGATTAAAAAGCAAAACTTTAAAAAAAATAAATTGGGTTACAAAATGTATAAAACTATCTGAAAAGATTAAAAATGTTTAAGTTTAAAATAAATATTTAAAAAACTGGTTAAAACTGAATTTGACTAATAAGAACTATTAAAAACTGAGAGCCGTTTGGTGAATTAAAATTAAATTAAATTATAGAACAATACTTTAATACGTTTGAGTGTCTACTAATGGTATCGATATGGTTGACGGTGCTGTCTGAAATGAATGTATGGAATGAAATTCGGCAGGCTAGACAAGCCACCCCAGACGTGGAGGTTGTTAATCTACAGCATCTAGGTGAAACCTTAGCACTACGCGCTCAAAATGATTCGAAATACTTAATGAATGTAAAGCTGTTGTAGAATGCATTAATGTTGTTCAAGAACTCCCTGACGGAAGAAAGAAAGCTAAACAGCTTGCTAACAAATGCACACCAAAGCAAATTCATTGTCCTAAAGAAAACTTTGAAAATAATGCCTATTTTGTACTGCTTGACAGTGTCATTGCAAACTTAGTACGAAGGTGCAAAGCTGCTAACAACTTTTACGAACTTTTTCAGTATCTTTGAAAATATTCAACTATGACTGAAGAAGGGCTCAAACGCGTGAAAACATTGTCCGAAAAGTACAATAACGATGTTGACGGAGAGGTATTATTTTTGGAAATAATTTTAAAAAAATTCAGGAAAGAAATTTTTCAATGGATTTGAATCCAAGAACACGTCTTAGCACTGTAGCAAGCCAAAACCTAACAAATATTTCTCAAAATATGGTAATTGCATTGAGAATCTTCTGTCGGCGGTCCTGATGACAACAGTCAAAACTTATTCAAGAGCACCTGACCAACTGCTACTGAACCAGGTCGATACACTACTTTACCAGCGAATTCAACTTAAACATTACAGCAAAATAAAACTAAGTTGTGCGAACCATCCTTACCAATAATAACCACACCGTCTATTCGGCTGATTTCCAGATAAGTACGATGAAGGTACGCACCAGGGGTTTATCATTAAAATTTCAGATCTTAAGATAGGTAGCAGCGATCTCAATATTTGTTCTTTATTTAATAAATGAGTAATAAAAAAATCGAATCAATTAGTAATTTTATTGCCGTCGTATAACAGCTGCAGTTGAAAGGTCAATAAAAGGCCCGTAATCAAACGGCAGGGCTTGGAATCCATCGAATCCTCGCTTCTGAAGAACGTATAGATAACTGCAGTACTGAACCAGTTGCAAAACACTTGGATCACTGATGGTTTTAAGCATACTCTGGCCAAATCTTCGTAAAGAGAATCAAATCAAGAGACTCAATTTGTGGAACGAAGTTATCCACTTTCTGTCTGATGTGATATTTATGTTAATATTTGTCTTCAATAGTTTTTTCAACAATTTGCGCGTAGTATTAAAACTAAGATCCCGCGTACGTTCCTGATATTTTAAATTTAAGTTTCTAAATAAAAATTAATTAAATCGATTAACAAAAACTAAAAAAACTAACATACATCCTCAATAAGTTAATATAAGTTTGCGCTTATTATCGTATAAAACCACCTTATTATGGTCAACAGCAATATATATTATGGATGTTACCAGTCAAGTGTTAAAACAAAGCCACAATATCTAGTCTAAGACAACGATTGGAGAAACATTGGAGCCAGGACCTTTAAAAAATATATATTTATTCATGCGATAAATTTCCGTTTTCAAATAAAATTTTCAATTTTAAGTTAGCTGCAAGGATAAACTTGAACACATAAGAGTTGGCTGAGACGGTAGAATGCCCACGTCTTGCGTTGTTATTGCACGGCGAACTGGTACGAACACTAACCGCCCAAAACCCAAAACTACATACGCCATGTTTGTACGTCGTGTGGTGTGATGTTACAGCCTAAGTGGCAAAAAAATTCAATTATAATATAAGTAAATATGACTCTAAAAAATTATATGTCAGAGCAGCATAATAAAATAAACAACAAAAAGGATCACAAAATAGACGATTGGTAAGCCAAAAAAGTTCTTTGCCTATTTAAAGATTCATGCAGTAATTTCATTCAGGGCTTAATGCACAGGGAATCATCTAAGTCAAGTTGAAGCTCATATTTCCTGAGAAAAAATGTAACAAATTAATCAAATTAATCAAGTTGAATTGACTATCAAAATTAGAAGTGTCTTTCGATATCTGTTGTTTAGAAAGGATTAGACTCGTTAATAATTATAATAACAAATTTTATGCTCGAAGGGAATATTTGTCTGACCGTGCTACTAGTATTCTGTTGAGTTCCGTTTGATTCTGTGAAACAAATTTTTACAAAGTAAAAAAATTAACTTTTGGAAGAAAAAATAATAAAACAACCTGAATTAAATTTTTTCAACTCTTCGAGTCTATTAATAATTTCTAAATCCTTTTTCTCATCTATTTCTTTTTTAAATCTCTCTTTTGACATTTGAAGTCGTGTGCTTTTAATAAGATCGTCGGAATTTCTTGGTTCGTCTTTCATGAGATTATCTAAAAATAAATAATTCATTTTTTATGGATTGGTTACAGAGTGTTCCATGCAAATACGATGATTAGATAATGATCTCATATTATCATACAAAGCATACTTAATTGAGACCAGTGTTGTCCAATAGCCAATTCTTCAGAAACCTCATGCAACAAATTTTCCACTTGATCAGCAGTTACCCTGCTAGGTTGAATGTGCTGTAATAATGTAAACACGTTTTTTTTCTATCTCTAAATAAACTAAACAAACAATTTTTTTTAATCTTGAAATAAATCAAATAAACCTTTTTTCCAATTGAATTTTTAACCCCTTTTAATATTTGCAATCTTTTAAATATGTCTTCCTCGGATGGTATTGTATCTGTTTGTGGTTTGACGTCTGCACGAAAAAATTATAAAATACAAGAAATTTCTGCAAATAGTTTTCCTTTCACTGTTTAATCCGAACTCGTGGTAGATTATAAAACTCAGCTTCACCACATATCTAATTATAGGATCTATATTCAATATTATATATCATGTATTTAAGTTATCCTATCTAAATGTTGTGAAGACACTCTAAACTATAATTTAATAAATAAGGCTGCTAAGCTGACGTTTTAAAAATATATAAATTTATGGTGCTTTAGTGTCGAAAACGTAAAACACCAGTCATAAACGCCCTTTGTTTCGATAGACAAAATGTAACTATTTAAATTTTTTTTTGCAAATGACAATCAGAAAGCTATTTAAGATTAACTTGTTGTTATAACTGTCATGTCTATGCATAGTTAAAAAATAAAATTAAAGTAAAAGTATAGAAAATTTCAAGGGATGCAAGTAAAATGATAAAAATAACACTCGAGTAAAAATTAAGTATAATCAATTTATCGGCACAAATAAATAAAATAAATACAGGATCTGTCTTATTCCGGTTTAAATCTTATCTTTCAAATCGTTCTCAATATATTAAACTTGGTTCCCACTCTTCTTCTAGCTTTACCTTATCTACTGGAGATCTCCAAGGGTCTGTCATTGGTCCCATTCTTTTCACTACTTACACCTCTCCTATTTCCAATATCATTAGAGCTTTTGGCTTACTCTTTCATCAATACGCTGATGACACATGTCTAATAGCTAAAATTCCAACCTCTAATCATTGATCTCAGCTTGACAACTTAAATGCATATATTATAGCCATAAACGTTGGGTTCTTATTAAACTTTCTTCAGCTAAATCCCCACAGATCTGAAGTAATGTTTCTTGGTACTCCGCAACAGCCTATTAAATGTTCCCCTCATCACACGCTCTCTTGGCTGATTCTTCTCTCTCCTCAACCTCTTAACTTAAATTTTTAGGCTTAACTTTTGACTCTTCTCTATCTTTTAATTCTCATGTCTTAGCTTTGATCAAATCTTGTAATTATCATACGTGCACTATTCGTCATATTCGTAATTTTTTTACTGAAGATTTTGCTTCTGAACTGACTCGATGTCTCGTACTATTACGTTTAGATTATTGTAATTCTCCTTTCCACGGTCTTCCCTCCTACATTTTAACTTTACTTCAAAGAGCTCAAAATAGAGTTGTAAAAGTTGTTCTAAATATCAGTAATTCATCTTCCAGCACATATTCACTCATTCAACTACATTGATTACCAGTACGTCAACGCATTATATTCAAAGTCGCCGTCCCCACGTATAAGTTATTTAATACATCTCAAACATCATTTCTTCTTCAACTTGTATCGCGTCGTTTATCAACCAACTTCATTCGTCTTCATATATTCCTTTACATCAACCTGTCATTAATTCATCAGTTGTCATACAGCTCTTCGTCCATATGGAATGGTTTGCCTGCCATCATTCGTCAACAACCAACCATCAAACTTTTTAGGAAACGATTAAAATTTTTTTGTTTATTAAGGCCTACGGAAACACCAAAAGTCATTGTTTATCCAAGCGCCCTTGAAGTTATGCATAGGACGCGATATAAATTAATAATAATAATAACAATAATAATAATAATAATTAATTCTGCATGCAAGTCAGGTATAACTGTTTAAATTCAATAAATCGATAAAAATTTTTAACTCAATCGGCAGAATTATTCAATGCACCTATCGTGAATATGTAATCGATAGACCATTGTCGAAAAATTCTTTCTCATTGCTGTTGAACATTGTCGAGAAAATCATTGAGAGAAGATTAACGTCTTGCATCACAACCGGAAATTAACAATTTGGTTTTCTAGCAGGGAAATCAAAAATTGATGCAATTCACATCCTTCGGCAACTGCAAGAGAAGTACCTCGCAGAGCATCAACAACTATCACACATTTTTGTAGACCTTGAAAAAGCATTTGATCGAGTTCCCCGTAAAGCAATTAGGTGGAGTCTACGTTGACAACTCATTCCAGAATATCTTGTTTGACTTGTGATGGAAATGTATACGAATACTAAGACTCTCGTCAGCACAACGGTTGGAAACACAGATGCATTTGACATCGGCGTTGGAGTTCACCAAGGCTCAATTCTCAGTCCACTGTTATTTATAACTGTGATGGAAGAAATCACAAAACCCATACGCACTGGTGACATTTGGAATTTAATACATGCTGATGATATCGTTTAAACAGTCACGTCTGAGCAGGATGCAGCACAGATGTTTGAAGATTGGAACACCAGACTTGCCGATCATGGATTCAAAGTCAACATCAGCAAAACCAAAGCAATGAACACTGGTGAACCCATTCAATCCACAGCTACTGGACGATAGCCCTGTTCAGTTTGTAAAGCTGGTGTACGTAACAATTCAATCAAGTGTCAGCAGTGTAACCATTGATGTCACAAACGTTGTTCAAAAATAATTGGTACTTTATCTAAAGTGTCCAATTTTGTTTGTCCTGCTTGCATCAATCCACAACGACAACTTCGAAATAGCAATGTTTTTGAAGCCATTAAGGTAGAGAGAGTCACATCGTTTCAATATCTAGGGAATGTTCTTGAATGTACTGTAATCAAATCTACCGAAATCCTGCGTCGTGCTGGTTTAGATGATATAAAGAACGAATGCCGGCAACACCGTCTGCAGTGGTTTGTTCATGTCAAACGAAGTGGAAACAGTGCCATAACTTCTCTTGCAGATGTTGAAGTACCTGGCACACGTCCCAAAGGCCGTCCAAAGAAGTCCTGGTCGCAAACAATCGAGCAAGACATGAAAGCTTTAAATTTAAATGAAATGGATACAACTGATCGTCTAATTTGGCGCAAAAAATTGATGGCAAAGAAAACAACGTTCTACCTCGAGGAGCTGGGTCTCTGGACGCTAAACGAAGATTGATGGTTGTTGAACAAGTTTTTTTTACAGTTTTATTAAAAACCAATTACAACTGTTAGTATTGACGAAACCAATGGAATAAACAGTTTTAATAAATTTATTCAAACAATGCAAAAAAGGACGTTTTACAACGAGGAAGTATAAAACAGTAACCCGCAGGCACGGATTGCAATTAAAGTTGTAAAATACCACTGCATATGATATCGATCTTCATGTTATTGAATTTATAAGTGCAAGTGAACTGCATAGAGGGAGAGCGGTGGCAGATCTTGGGGGCCGTTATGGGCAGTAAAACATAGTTTTTACACATGAAAAACACTGTTTTATGCATAAAAGGTCACCAGCCTAATTTTTTTGGTCCCCCGTCACATTTCTAAATTTGTAAACATTTTTAAAAATTTCGGTGTCCCCATCAAAGTGTCTAAGTTGTTTATATCCGCCACTGAAAGAAAGGGAGAGAGAGAGAGAGAGAGAGAGAGAGAGAGAGAATGAGAAAGTAAAACAGGCAGATAGACAAATTAAGAAAAAGATAGAAGAGTAGATAGTTGCAGTGGCGGTATTAGAGGGGACCGAGTGGGGGCCATGTGAGTGGTGATTTTTAAATTCGGTAAAAGTTAGTTTTACATAAAATACACTGTTTTAATTAAAAAATTGACAAAAAATATTTGCGTGATAATTAAAAAAAGTGAATTTGGTTACATCAGTCCAAATGTTAAAACTTTAAATTTCAACATTTTTAAAACTGCCTAGATCCACCCCCAACATGGTTAGGTAGATCGGTAAGTAGGTAGTAGGTACAATTTCGGACGCTCATTTCCTGAAATTCAACTCTTTTCTACTCTTTTCTAAACTAAATACCCCTACAATTACTACAATAGTTGGGCGCCAAATGTCGACTTGAGTTTTCCCTGGCTAACTTTCACTAACAACAATAATACCGACAATAATAGCTAGATCTAGCATTACAACCACTAATTTTGATTGTCTTGTGTGTGGCTATGGCTTTTTTTGAGTAAATCCGCACAGATCAACAGCATGCATATACAGATTTGATCGTTGTACATGAAAATTCAAATCCGTCCAATTGTTCAACGCAATTAATAATTTAAAAATGGCTTATCTCCAAACTAATAATCACGGTTACAAAATAACCATTAATCAAATGCGTAAATTACGGTTACAAAATAATAAATTTTGCAAGCAATTATCAGGCAATAACACAAACACTAATCACATCAAACCAACCAAATTGTGAGCTCCTGCGGAATATGTATCATGCGAGTGGTACAAAAGATTTAGACAAGAGCAACTTACTCGGATTGATTTCTGATCACTCTGTCAATGAATCTAAGAAAACTACAACTATTAATAACTCTAGCGTATTGCCTAAAAACTGTTTAAAGACTATTCTAATACTTGACTGGAGATAGCTATGACAACACACAACTCACGTTCGATACAAAGAAATTCTACCAAATCCGCTCGATACACATGAAACAGGCAACAATGTAGAGTAGAAATACATTTACAAACAAAAGTAATAGCTAGGCCACTTGCGTCTAATCTACGTTGAGCACGGGCGGTCAAACGCCACTGTTGTATCCGAAAAAATTGGCAAATGAAATCTAATACACAAATTAGTTAGTTAACATTAAACAATTAAACATAACTAAGTTCAATACATTCAGGTAAATAATTCGGTTACAGTCATTTGCGAATAAATGACTGAGCGTTCAAATATGCAAAATCAATAACGCATTCAAGCGGACAGTTTAACGTAAAAAATAATTGAAAATAAACAAGCCCATAATCAAACGTTCAAACAAAAAACTAAATCTGAATGCACACTTGAAATAAGAATTAAAGTTTCAAACAAATACCTCTACTTTGGAAGCACAAACGAATAAATAAACGCACGCATACGCACAATTATATCAACTAAATAACCTAACGTACACGATAAATTAAACTTAGTGAAATACGATAACCCTGAACACGATAATGACAGCGACACATCAAGCGAAACGGGAGTGACAGAAAAAAAACCCAAACCCCGATAAGGACTGCGAAGAACAAAACAGAGTGAATAAAATGAAAACAATCTCGCTCACAACACAAACAAACCACCGCAAAAGATCTAGTTCTAGCACTCAGACCAAGGCCGGCAAAGGCACGGCTACACCAACACCGCAAAACAGCACAAGCCACAATCATATATGGTACTATCTTATATATTATATATGATACTATATTATATATCGAAGATAAATTCATTCATCTATCCATGTTTCAATCATTCGTCTATCAAATCATTATTACAAGTTCATCTATATCTGCCATCATCTCTCTTACTTCTATAATAACATGTCTTCTTAAAAATAATAATCAGATTCATCTTAATGCTCTTGACTTTTCTAATGCTTTGACCTGACAATTTCTACAATCGTTATAATAAATTTTCTTTCTAATAGGAGACACTCTACTTTTTTCTGCTAAAAACTTTCACCAACCCCATCTATTATTTCAATTATAGTTTAAATAATAATAATATAAACATTTATGAAGCGCCCATTCGCACAGCTGCTTCAGAGGCGCCCGGAGCCCGTGTTAAAAAGATGAGTCTTTAATCCCTTTTTGAAAAGACTCAACGAGGAACATTGTCTTAACTCAGGAGGTAACGCATTCCAGACATACGGAGCAGCGTGACGAAAACCGCGGCCAGCCAGGCGGGATCCGACAACAAGAATGTTTAGGAAACCTGTTGAGCTGCTGCGGAGTGATCTAGTGTGTTCATGTCTGGATATGAGGTCGTATAGATATGTTGGGGATTTTAATAAAAGTGTTTTGAAGGTAAGGACTGCAATTTTGAAGATGATTCGAGCGGAAATTGGAAGCCAATGAAGCATTGGAAAGAAAATGGAAGAACTAAAACGAGGAGGTTTATTAAATATCAGTCTAGCAGTTTTATTTTGGATAGTCTGTAGCTTTCTGACAGATGCACGTGAGGCCCTATACAATGAGGAGTTGCAATAGTCTAATCTAGAAAGGATAAAACTAATCAAACATCAGCAAAGGGCAGCAGCAACATCACATGTAATCATATGTCTAATATGTCTTATTGCGCAGAGGTGATAGTTGCAGGATCTGACGATTTCTGATATGTGTTTATCAAAATTTAGATGTTTGTCAAAAGTGACCCCAAGCAACTTGATCGTACCCGAGATAGGCAATGTGGACCCTGCTATGTCCATTTCCTCGAGCTGAAACCTCGACAGTTGTTGATGTGACCCAATGACCATAATTTCAGATTTGTTAGGGTTAAGAAGAAGGAAATTATTAGCATACCACCAATAAACCTCGCTAGTACAATTGCTTAAGACTCGAAGAATGCTTTCAAGATCGCCAGAAGTGACAGATGTATGCAGATGAGTGTCATCGGCGTAGTGATGAGAAAATAATCCATTTTTACTAAAAATGTCGCTAACAGGAGACACATAGGTAGTGAACAAGATTGGACCGAAAACGGAACCCTGGGGACTCCAGTGTCGATCAAGCAGGTAGAAAAAGTATGGTTTACCAGCTTCACAAACTGCTGTCTGCAGCTCAGGTAAGATCTAATCAGTGATAGAGCATGACCATCCACCCCAAACTCTTGTTGTAGGCGTTCGAAAAGAACCGAGTGACTGATGGTATCAAAGGCAGCGGACAAGTCGAGCCCAACTGCAATGATTACCTTTCGGTTGCCAGCCTCATTAAAAATATCATCAGCAATGTGTAGCAATGCAGTCTCAGTGGAATGATGAGAACGATAAGCGGATTGAAAATTTGGATAGTTATGATTGGACATTAGGTGGGCACGTAGTCTTAGCAATATGACGCGCTCAAGTAGCTTTGAGAATGTTGATAATTTTGATATAGGGCGGTAATTTGACGGGTCATCAGGATCCAAGGATGGTTTTTTCAGTAGTGGTAGAACCTGAGCAGTTTTATAGAGTGAAGGAAAGCATCCCGTGCTGAAGACAGAGTTAGTCTGCTTGACTAGAATAGGTGCTAAGATCGACGAGAATTGCTTTAGCATTGAGGTTGGAATAGGATCAATGGGTGATGTTTTGTTTGGTAGAGAAGCAATGAGTTTAGTCATCTCATCACAATCAGTATCAGAAAATTGAAGAAAGATGTCGCCTTTATTTGGACGAGCAGGGAAAGTGACAGAGGTGGATTTAGAAATAGCGGTGGATATTGGGAGATGTATTTTTTTATTTTGTCCTGAAAAAATGTGCTGAAGGAATTAACCAGCCTCTTGCAATCTGCATCGCTATAGCAATGGACAGGGTGGCTGTGAAGAACTTTGTTAGCCAAGCGCCACAGGAAACGAGGATTTGAATTAGATTTACCGAATTCAGCGCTTATACAGTCCGCTCTAGATTTGATGATGGCGGTTTTAGCTACGTTTTTTGCAACCCTGTAAGCATGTTTTACCGCGTGACGAGGATCCAGCTGCAATTTTTTTTCTAGGCGTCTACACTCTCTCTTTGCTTGACGTGCTTCATCAGAAAGAGTGAAGATATGTTTTTGGCCACGCCTGATGGTAATAGTTTTTAGTGGAGCGTGTCGATCCAGCAAACTTTGCAAATTCCGATCAAGGGCTGAAGCCAGCATATCAGGATCCAGTGAAGCAGAGAGCGGAGAATCAAAAACAGCTATTAAGTCAGATTGAAATCTGTTTAGGTTAATGCGATGTATAGGCCTATATGTACGAGTTTCAACTAGGGGCGGGGTACTGAATGTACATATGTCCACAAGAATAATTTTATGGTCAGAGTAGGTGACATCTGATGATCTCACATCCTTATATGCTGTCGGAAAACAAAGTCGAGGTAATGATTAGATCAAGAGTATTACCACACCGGTGTATTGGAAAGCTTACGTGTTGAGATAAGTTATTTTCTTCCAGAATGGAGGAGAGACGCTCGCTACCAGGACAGTTGAAATCGCCACAAATTATAAAGGAAGATGAAGATGAATGTAAGTAATTTATCAAAGTCTCCAGTTCCTCAAAAAACGAATCAACAGCCGGACCAGAATGGCGATAAAGAACGGCGAGAATAATAGCCGACTCAGGGCACACGAACTTGGTGACAAGCAGTTCGAACGTTGTGAAAATACCAAAATCTAGCGCTGAATGTCGAAATGTCGCCCGGTATACAACAGAGATGCCACCACCACGCCGATCAGGCCTATGATAATGTGCTACAGAAAAACCAGGTGGGGCAATATCCAGCTTCACTACATTGGGTGCGTCAGATGAGATCTAAGTCTCCGTGAGTGCCAGTTGTCAATGCCATTGTCGAGAATGGTGTCATAAAGGAGAGCCGCTTTATTGACAGCCGAACAAGCATTCAGAAGACCCAGAATTGTTTTTGTAGAATTTTTATGAGATCCATCTACTGCAGGCAACAAGTGCTTAAGCCTGATACGACCCTTCCAAAGCCTCCAGATCCTCAACCGGAACAAAATTTTTTTAGCGAAATTTTTTAAAGATCTGTTCCTGTATCTTCAGCTTTAATTATCAATGCTTCATCTTTCAAAACTCATCATAGTTCTAATAAATCATCAAATACACTGACGACACATCTTATCATCCCATCATCTAACACAAACACCACCAAATCAGAACTCGACTCATTAACTACATGGTCAAGACAATGCAATCTGTCACTTAACTACAATTAATCATTTGAACTCATCATACATAGTCGTAAAAAAATAACATTAACTCCAGAGTATCCATCAATCACTTGCATGAATCAATTAAAAATATTAGGCATTTCATTAACCTCACTCAACATAGCACTTCACATTAACCACATCAACCCAAAAGGTTTTCAAACATTTCACGCACTCAAAACACTTCACTCACATGATTTCAAAGGTATTTAATTATTTAACATTACAAAATCACCCATCATCTCACGCATCAAATAAGCAGCTCCTCCTCATTAATTCTCATTCAACATTTACGTTAGATTCTAAAAAAATATGAGAAGAATTATAACACTGAAATAGAAAACATAAATTACGTTTTCATCGGAATTCTCAATTTCGATGAGAAAGAGAAAGAGAAAGAGAAAGGGTGAAAGTATATAGCTGGAATATTTTACTTATTTTGTCGATTTTCATTCAAGAAATGCTATTTATTCTGCCTCAGTGCACGTGCACATAATAATCCTAATAAAATAAAGATAAAAAACATGAAAATGTAGTTCAAATTTAACCTTTCAAGTTAGACAACCTTCTTCGGAGATAGTCATCTTCATCTTGTAACGCTCTTTCATTTTTCAGTTCATCAAGTTTCTGCATATGTTTGTCGTTTGCTGTTTTTGAAGCAGCCATACGTCTTTATAATTAATAAAATGAAATTTGAAAAAATTATGAGGTCTTCAAATAAAAACTATCAACAAAATAAACGAAACTAATTACAAAATTATAACTGCAATAAAAAATGATCAACTTAAAAAAAACTTGTGGAGGATCAAAATTCTTCTTTTTTTCTGTGTTAACTTTTCTAATTAATAAAAAAATAAATAAGGAATAAATAAATAAATAACATAATTTCATTCAAATATAGAAACAATTGAATAATTGCCATTTTTGTAGTGTGTTTTGCGAATTTTTTCTTATTTCGGATCATGGAAAAAATTAGAGATTCTGGTTTGTTGAAGGTAGGCTCTGATTTAGTGAGGTAAGTTCTGGTTTAGTAAAATAAGTTCTGGTTTAGTGAAGCAAATTCTGGTTTTAAGAAAAAAGGAAGGAGATACATTCTGGCTTAATAAAAGTAAATTCGGATTTTAATAAAAGTAATTCTTGTTTAATTCTTTAATAAAAGTAAATTTTGGTTTAATAAAAAGTAAATTCTGGTTTTTGATAAAAGTAAAATTTGGTTTAATAAATGTAAAATTTTGATTGAAAAAAGTAAATTTTTTGAGTGATACTAGGATGCAGCAGCACCACTCAAATCTCAGGAAGGCAAGTTTAGAGTTCAACTATAGAAAGGCTTCTTGAAGGATACCATGAAAAGGCGAATTCACTGCTATTCCTCGCATGAGGGCTCATATCCCTTAGAGAAATTATTTAAGTAGTAAAAACAATATGAAACTACAACAAATCAACGGCTCTGACGTCACCCGGGTTAACAATGTCCGCGTCGGTTGAAGGTTTTCTTCTCTGCCACCCACCGAAAGTAATTGGAAAAACCAAAAAACAAAGAACTTTCAACAATACAATCTCATTATAATGGTTTCGGTACATTATAATGTTAATACTTTTTTTTTTAAAGTTTTAAACATTATAAAACTTTTAAATTTTTAAAGTTTACAAACTTAAACTAAATTTAAATTTAATTTAAACTTAATTTAAAAGTTTTAAATCTTTTATTTTATAAAATGTTTTATAATTTAACATTATAAAACATTACAAGTTTCAATAATCAAAACTTGCACTGGTTGACCTTGGCAGCCAGAACAAAAACTTGTACTGGCCAACAAGCAGAGGTGTAATCGAGACACTCAGACGAATCAAATCACCTGGTCCAGACTATGCAATGACAGCTGAAGTGCTTAAGACGGAGGTGAATTTGTAGTAGACCAGCTTCACACCATATCTCAATAGCTCAAGGCGCCAAAACAATGCACATCAAATCCCATCAATTCGATTCCGAAGAAAAGCAACCCCCAACTCATGGCCAATTATCGCAGTATTGCACCTCTGCTTGTATTGGCTGACTGCCAAAGTCCTCAATCGAATATTGCTGAATCGCATACAAAACCCGATCGACATGCTGCTACGAGACAAACAAGCAGGCTTTAGAGCAGGTCGTGGGGCAGAGTGATGTACGATCTATCAAAAAGTCAAGTACTCATCGGAGGGGATATGTCTAAACCCTTCACCATAACAACAGCCGTTCTACAAGGTGACGGGCTTGCTTCGTACCTGTTTATAATAGTTATCGATTATGTCTCGAAACAATCTGCTGGTTATTTTAGCTATCTAACACATAAATCAACATCTTGACAGAAAAGCCAACGACCTTAATAATCAAAAGCCAACGATCTTAAGGATCATGCGTTAAGACAGCAGAAGAGGCACCCGTACGAAAACTTAACAAACTCTCATATGCTGATGACATCTCTCTCTTAGAAGACGACACCAGAAGGGCACAGCAAATATCTGCCATCAAAGAGAGTAACCATGCGATCGGCTTAGAGATAAATGTCAAAAATACAGTCCAGATCCAATAAAACGACAAATCAGCGTCAAAAGCACAACTCATCATCGATGCAAGCAGCATAGCGATTGTCGACGACTTCAAGTACCTCGGGTCATACATAACATCAAGTGAGAAGGACGTGGACAATAGAATTGCTCTAGCATGGATTGCATTAACCAAACTCAAGACCATCCTGAGATCATCCAAACCCAAAATCAAATTCAAGACTCGACTGTTCAATGCGGCATGTCTGTCGGTGTGGCTTTATGGCTGCAAATCGAGGACTCTAACGGAAGCTAAGGAGCATAAACTCGACATTTTGCAAAAAATGTTATCAAATCATGCTAAATATCAACCAAGCCGATGCTTACATGGCCAACAAACAGCTATATAACTAATCAAACCCCAATCAGCGAGTTAATCAAGTCAAGACAGTTGCAATTTGTCGGACACCGTCTTCGAATGGATAAAACTGAGTCGGCAAACATTTATGCCCATTATTAATCTTATGTTGGAACAAATAGAAAAGATTGGCAAAAGATAAGAAGTAGTAGAGAAATATTGCTGTGCCTAACAAGCCTACCCAATGATGAAGATAGGAATAATAAGTATAACTAATAATATATATATATATTGATATACATATAAAGAAATATATATATTGATATATTTGTTGTTGTTATAAAATAGCCAACAAAATTGTGCTTAACAAACTTTTATATCAACAAACTATAGTTCACCAAGTTAGCACAGTTAGTAGCAGTGGCATGTCTCGCGCTGTAATTACGCTATGGTATGGGTTCGAAAATTGTTTGAATATTGTCTGTCCGAAACTCAGGCTATCACATGCGTTGTTGTTGCCAAAAATCGGTTGTTATGCGAAGATTGTTGTTGTAGTTGCCAAGCAGAAACTTCGGTTAGATTTATCCAAAGATGAATTGGTTGTAGTTCTGTTGGGTTGTTGAAACAGTTGAAAAAATGTTGAACATTGTGAGGACTCTTGTTACATGCCGGGCAGGTGTTTGGGATGTTTGGGTTGATTCTGTTCTGGTATTCATTGAGGAAAGGACAATGGCCTGATCTTAATTGTACTAATAATATTCTTGTCTTTCTAGGTAGTGTTTGTTCTATTGGATTGATAAAAGGAGTTGGTGTAAAATTATATCGTTCATTGAGTAAAATTGGAGGTATGTAGTTGTTATTTGATATTACTTCTCCGACTGAGTTATTGCGAAATTATTTAACTGCTTGGCGAGAGGTCTCTCTGGTTATTCGGGCATGGATGAATTGTTGAATAATGTTTTGGTATTTAGCTTGAAGAGTGTTCCTGATTTGTCGTTCACTAATTTGTTGACAAAGATATGTTGGGTCTTGACATTGGATTGTTCCAGATAGTAGTTTAAAAAGGTTATTTTTTGGCAGTTCTTCTTATTAAAATTTAATGATGCGGGGAAAAGGTGAACATTGTATCAAAGGTTAGACGAAAAATTTTGCAATTATGTATGTTCTAGAGGTAATGCAGAATTATTAATTTTGGTTTGAGGATGTATATTGTATTGAGATGTATGACGAGTCAATAGCGTTATTGTTAGATTTGGTGTAAAAATTTCTAGAGATCTTTCTTTGAAAATGTTTTAGTTTTTGGAGATAATAATTGATTCATTCTGTTAGTTGAATAACATAAGATCCTGATGAATATGTGAAGTTATTATGGCGCAGGTATATGAATGAATGTTGCATGTGTGTATGTTGGTTGGTTTGGCGCGCTTATTGTATGGAGTGGTCTTGTATTTTATGCATATTGGTATAATGTCGTGTGAATAGGTTTTGTGTGAATGTTGATATTGTATTGCGTGAGTATTGGTGGTACATTTGAGAGTGAATGGTTGCTCAGGTGAGTTAGTATATAAGTGTTTTGGGCAACTGTTTAGTTTAGTTTTAATTTTAAAGTTTTGGAGTTTGTCAGTTGGTAAGTCGGTCAGTTAGTGAGTTAGTTTGGTTCCTGCGTGTTTGTTCTGGTAATTGGTAATAGATTAATTTTGAATAGATGATGTCAGGAGATGAAAGTTGATTATTTTTGGATAATCTTGTAGGTTGATTTGTGCTTAGTGTCCCGGTTGTCTATTTTTTGTGCAATCTCCTCGTCTCTTTTGTCTTGAATAGTTGAATGCCTGAAGGGGTTGTGTGAGTTAAAGCCGCCAAGGATGATTGCATTAAATACATTTAATAAATGTTCGATTAGAGCAAAGTAGTTGCTTGGGCAACTGCCGTAGAAAGGTATGTGGTTAATAATAATTTTTAAATCTTGATTATTAGTTTTAATTTGAATGGCTTGAACTTTGCGAATATCGTTGTTTTGAATGTTGGGGAGGATAGGTATTGTGAAATGTATGCTATGGTGGATGAAAAATAGCAGTCCACCTCCAGTTTTGTTGATTCTGTCTGCGGTATGGTGTGTCGCTTGGCATTTTGGTGTCTTTGATTGGTTTTAGTTTGGTTTCTTGTAAGCAGCTATGTAGATGTTGAAGGTTGGCAAGTGTAGTTCAATTTCGTCTAGTTTGTTTTGTATTCCATTGCAGTTAAACTGTAAAATGATGAAATAGTTAGAAATGTTTTGTTGTTGGTAAAGTTGGTTATGATGATGAGGTGTTGATGATTGGGCTGTTCCACTGTGGTTAGAATTGTTGCAGCTGTTGAGTTGGGTCCAATTTTGATAGGTACATTGTTTATAGTATTTTTTTAGTGATTTTGTGATGAGTTTGTTGTTGTCATGATTTATAGAGGAGCCAAGGTTCGGGTGAATACCAGCCAATAAGAGAAGCAATTGAAATAACACTGTTGGTAGGTGATGATTGGCTGATGAACTACTGTTTGTGTATTCGTTCGGCTTTTGGAGTTGAGTTGCAACAGTTTGCTGTCGGAATTGACAGTCAGTCCCACCGCTTGAAGATTGTTGCCTTCATACGCGGTGCTGCATACTTAATGTGTACGTCGTGTGGTGTAGATGGCACAACTTTTGTGGCACAAAAGTTTAACTATATATATAGAATGACATGTAGCAGCTCTGCGTTTGGCAGAGTTGCATTATAAAGAATAAAAAAATGATATCCTTAAAATAGCGCTGAGGTTTTTCTAAATTCAAATTTAAAAATTTTTCAATAGATCATTTCAGAGTTCAATATGATTGATTGAAACAAATCAACGTGAAAAAACCGAAACTTTCTCAATTCTGCTTCGAACATTTGTAAATAATCGACGTCGAGTTTACTTGTTGTCCCCCCCCCAACTTAAAAAAAGAAACGACAATTTCAAATCTGACAACCGCCAACCGACCACTTCATTTAGACATGCAAAGTACTCTGGCATGATCAATAAAGAATTGTGGGATGAGCGGGTGAGGATGAAAGAGTGGTATTTAGAAAAAATGACAACAGCAATGTCAAATGATGTCTATTTCATTAACTGGTCGCATGGAAATATGGAGTTAGAAAAAAAAAATTATGCTTATTATATAAATTGATAGCACTTTAGAGAAATCTTATTCAATAAGCGCCATATAAATATCCTACAACTGATCGTCTAATTTGGCGCAAAAAGTTTATGGCAAAGAAAACAACGTCCTACCTCGGGAAACCGGGTCTCTGGACGCAAAACGAAGATTGATTGAAATATCCTAATAAATTGAGAATATTACTTTGTTAAAACTGACAGTGTTTCAAGGATTATCATTTCGGATTCGATGTTTGATTCTCTTTTTAATATGGCTAGTTGGTGTTGTTTATTTATTTATTTTTACAAACGTTTTTAACTGGTTCTATTATTTGGTGAATGATTATGAGTAGGAAGGCATTAATTTAGAGAACAGCTTATTTGAAAGTGTAGCTATAGGGATTGAAATTATTTATCAGGTTCGATTATTGTAGGTGATTTTTGTTTCTGTGGATTTATTGCTGTTATTCTGTGATCGTGAATTTAATATGAATGTGATAGCGCCTTTGAGATATTTATCTAATTGGCGCTTTATAAATGTTCTAATAATAATAATAATAAATGTCTCCAAATAATTTCTTTTGATTTGATTGAATAAATACATGAATGACAACAAAATAAATAATATAATCCATTACAAATAACCCATTTAAAATGTCAAAACATCGATCGCAGACAGCAGCTTTTTCTTTTTTCAACTTTGGAACTTGCGTCTGTTTAGAAACACATTTCTTGCAGAATGCATAGCCACAATTATCGCATCCAATCTGAAATGATTGGGTCATTAATAACTTATTCACTAACCGTCATTTGATATGATACATTCTATTAACAAGTTACTTAGCAACAATTGTTACAATGGATCCAGGAAATGTGACCAAATTAAAAATATTTTATTCATCATATTAATTAATTAATATTTAAAATACAAGTTAAGACAAAGTATGTCTCCCTGCACTGGTTAGATATCTGCCGTGCAATAAGCACGAGGTTGCGATCGCGTTAAATATGTAGCATATTTTGAGAAAATTACGGCAAAACCGTAGATCAGTCCAGGGTTTTTCAGCATTATTTATTTTCTATTATTTGTTTAAAAATTAATTCTATAATTAAGGGTCATAGGCATATATATTATATAATCTTATGTGGGACAAAACGCAAATTTTCTGTCTAGTATTTTTGTTCTTTAAAAATCTATCAAAACATTGGCTCATCATATGATTACTTGAAAGAAATAACGACCATTTTTTGGTTTATACGAATGAAATTTGAAAGAAAAAATTAAATTTTGACAGTTACAAATATGTTACAAATCATGACTTGTATTAATAGTTGTGTTAATAAATCAACCAAGGGTAAATGTTTCTCTTTTCACCGGTAAAATGTTTATTGGTTTTTAATTCAAATGTTACATTGTTTTATTTATTTAAATGTAAGTCCGTGAGTGATAATTGTGATAACATATTCAAGTCAATCTCTTTTTCCTAATTAATTATGATATTCTTTTTGCTAGCTATACAACAAATCTTTCTTTTTTTCTTGCTCTTGACTATTCTTCGATTATTTAAATGGTGAAAATGTCAGTGAAGGTAATGTTAATGCGAATGTTCATTCAGGACACGAAATGGTGAGAGACGTTTCTAGTTTAGAGACAATGCCTCCAACATGTACTTGGAAGAAGAAAAGCTTGGTTCTCGTCTACCTGGATAATGACATCAACGACGGTTTCATTGCTGATGAGGATAAGTTTTTCATCACTGCAGCACTGATCGACAGGAAAGATGTCAACGACGAATCTTACAACATGTATCAAAGAAACCCGTCTGGTCATTCTACATCTTGTAAACTCAATAGAAAAAAAACACTTGCCTCAAATGACAACACAATCAAGACAGGACAACGATGTCTGCTTATGGCTAAAGGAACCGCAACAACGAAAACGTGGCGTGATCCGAAGAGAGAAAGCGAAGTCGTAAATGTGATTTATGTAGTTGGAATAGTTTAGTGTTTCTATTATTGTTGGTCTTCAAGTAAACGTTCAACAGCATTTGCGTTTAAAGCAGTTGTGTTTACCTATCGGAAATCGGAAAACGAACAATTGACGATCGTTGGAAGCTACAACACTGAGGTTGGAAATATAGAGATCTTTTAGTTATAACATCGGTGTTGGTAGTTACGAAAGTCAAGAGTTACAACAATATAAATAAATATATATATATATATATATATATATATATATACATACATATACATATACCGGTTATATGTATGGATGCACTGTGCACTGGTTACACTGCTGACAATCAAGTGACAGCAGTGTACCAGTGGTGTCACAAACGTTCCCAAAAAACGAGTAATGCTTGATTGGTGCCTGCATGTTGACGATGTCATTTAAAGTTGTGTTTAGCGCTGACGGAAACTCATCGACCACCAAATCTTGTGAGAGCAAATCATTTAATGCTCTGTTTAAATAATTTTCGAATGACGTGTAATTTAAACGACAAAAGCAGCGACGGCAGTTATGGATGATTGTCGATGATGGTTTGAAAAGCGTTGAGTTGAAGCACACAATGTTGTGATCTAAAAAAATCGCAATCATTGACGAATAATTTGATGCCTCTGAGACCATGGGAGAGGAGTGTTTTGAGTGCGTGAAATGTTTGAAAACACCTTGTGATGATGTGATTAATATGAGATGTTGAGGTAAATGTAATGCCTAATATTTTCAATTGATTCGTGCGAGTGATTGATGGATGCTCTGGAAATTATGCTATTTTCTTACGACTATTGTGTATGATGAGTTCGAATGATTTATTGAGGTTAAGTGACACATTGCATTGCTTTGACCATATAGTTAATGAGTTGAGTTCTGATTGGATGGTGTCTGTGCTAGATGATGAGATGATATGATATGTGTCGTCAGCGTATTTGATGATTTTATTAGAGCTATGAAGAGTTTTGAGAGTAGAAACATTGATGATAAAGGTTGATGGACAGAACCTTGAACAACACTAGAATTAATGGGTAAGGTAGATGAAAGAGTGGAGCTAAAAAAAAAGTAGAATGACTCCTATAAGAAACAAAATTTATTATAATATTGTAAATATTGTCAGGTAGAGGAATAGAGGCTAGATTATTTGAAAGTGAGAAGTGATTAAGAGTGTCAAAAGCTTTAGAAAAATCAAGAGCAATAAGATGAACATGATATTATTTTTGAGAAGAAATGATATTAAAGAAGTAAGAGCAGATGTAGATGCGAAATGATCTTGTAAGGTTCGACAGACGGATAATTGAAGCATGGATAGATGAATGACCTAACAATGAATTTTTCTAGAATACGTGAAAGTATGGGGGTGATAGATATTGGGTGATAATCTATTGGTGATGATGTGTTTTCTATTATGAAATGGATGAATTGTGCTGGATTTCTATTGTGATGGGATGAATGAATAATCCTAACCCATAATATCTTAATCATTATTACAACCACCTTTGATTTTACCTCTGCATTTATTAATTATGACTTTTAAACTTCCATCATTATTACAACTGCTATTTTTGTCATCGCCATTGTTACTACCGCTATCATTATTGTCACAAACATTACAAACAAATACACTACCATTGATACCACATGTACCATCATTTTCGGCCTAGAACCACAACCTGGAACCAATGACACGTCGAATTAGCAACACTAAAATTTGCGTAGCCTTGTCCAATCCCTCAGCGGTTGACGACCTGATATCCTCATCTAGGCTTCTGCGTTCATCATCAGGTACCAAGCACATCTACATCAACCATGACCTGTCAAAAAGACAAGCTGAAAAGGTCTTTCTAAGACGCCAGGAACGTCGTCTTGCCAAATCAAATAATAGTAAATTTCACCACGAACAGCCATTTCGTTCGACAGGGTTTGATCCGACCGTTTAGAATGGCTTTGGCAAATGTTAGAAGTCTTCAGAATAAACGAAATGATTTGAATGTATTTTTATCAGAATACGATCCTAACATTTTTCAGTTATCGAAACATGGCTTTCACCAGAAGATCGTGACGAATTGTTTTTACCTACTGGTTTCAGTTTTGCTAGAAAAGACCGTGGAACGCGTGGTGGTTGTGTGGCTTTCATAATTAATAACTCGATTCGTTTCAAAGTCGTAAAGGTACCCACAAAATATTCCCATATCGAACTAATTTCAAATGATATTCTTTTTTCATCATCGGTTTATCGTTTCATCTCCTACTACCGCAGTGGTGGATTTGACAGGTTGGCTGAGAAATATGCAAGTGATAGCGTCCAATGTATCAAGGAGCTATGCAGAGGAAATGTTAACTGTCTGTTGGGCGATTTCAACCTTTCCCTCATTGATTGGACTAACTACTCCTCACCAGACAATTTAATTTATAATTCCTTCATCGAACTTTTTAACGATTTGGGCTTTCATCAGCAGATAGACCAACCTACTTGAAGTCAGAACATTTTTGATTTGGTGCTCTCTGATGATACCAGATTGCTATCAAAACTTGAGGTCTCATGTCCTTTCGCCTCAAGTGATCACAACTGCATTACTTTGCAAGTCAACTGTATCATTGATAAACTAATAAATGACAGCGCTAACAACGAAATATACTTTTACGATTTCAGCAGAGCAAACTACGAGCTTTTAAATGATTTTTTCTCAAAAATGGATTGGAATTATTATTTTCAATTCTGCTTTGATGCTAATGCATGTTGGAATATCTTTGAACAAATAACCAACAATGCCATATCAACTTTTGTTCCTCAAGTTCGTCATAAAAGTCTACTACCCAAACGATCAGTACCTAGATCACTTCGTCAATCATAAAAAATTAAACTAAACATTATTTTTGGAAAAAGTGGAAACAAAATTCAAATTCAGATGATAAAAATCACTACACGATGGCAGCAAAAAATGTTCTGAATTAGCAAACTTCTACCGTAAAATTATTGAAAACAATTTGTTATCAAATGCTAGCGTCAGAAGCTTTTATTGCTATGTAAACAACAAATTATTTTCCAAGCCCCAAACCAACAGCTTGAAAACTGAGGATAATAGTATATCAAGTGATCCTGTAACGAAGCGAACACATTTAACAACTATTTTGCATCAGTAACTTGTTTTTTGCCTCTCGGTAATTTAGTTCTTTTTTTCTGACTGGGTAAAGAGACATCTGAATGCCCTTGGTCAGTTGTTAAAATAAAATAAATAATTAAATTATTATATTGCCAAATTCCTCTTTTTAATTGCCGGAGAGATTTTATAGTATCTTTGGTTCCCATAAGTTAATTTTTCAAAGCCTATATGCCATCGTTTATATTCATCATTTTGTCGTTAACATTAAAAAACGTTGTTAACAAATAATCTTTTCTAAGCATCAGCATATGACTTTTAAGTTTAAATTCATTTTGACTACAAGATCATAATTACTTTTAACCACCAAGCCTTTCAACGCATCAGCAATTGACTTAATGGGGTTATCCTGAAAGTTCATTTTGTCCACAAGATCATCATCGGTAGCTCTAATATCTACTTTAGCCAAAATATCCTTTTTCTGACTGCTAATTGAAATGTTTTTTCCTGAATTTACTTTATGTCATTTGTTACATCATCTAATCTTTTAGAGGATTTAACAGCTTCAACCTGCTCCAGATGACTATTAAAACTCAACAGAAAACTAGGGGCATTCTGAAATTCTTTAAATGATAAATCAGAAATTCCTGCAAATTTACGCAAAAAAATTTATTTATTTATTTAACAACTGACCAGAGGGCATCAAGATGCCTCTTACCCAGTCAGAAAAAAAAGAACTAAATTCAACATAAATGGCAGAACAGAAAAAAAGAAAATGTTATATTTAAAAGATAGATACCACTTATTATCATTTCTAATATGTCAGTGTTCGATTAACCCTAATGAACCTAAACATGAAAGTAAACTTTTCAACCTTGAAAAAAAAAACACCAAAGAACAAAGAGAAGCATTACAAGTGATTGAATGTTCAAACTACAGCCGCACCATCACCTGTACTCAATTAATTCACAAGAACTCACAGTTAGGGTAAATGAAAAATCTATCATCATACAAGTCAACATCAATGCTCAGTCAAAACAATAGTTAGTTGACTTTCAAACAGACACAGAGCAATATAAAATACTACTAATGCTGACACAAAATAATATGTAAAAAGAAAAATATAAGAAAAATATAAACTATTCTGAAATGGTCAAAAGACGGCCAAAAATGGTGTTGGAATTTTTGTCAGAGAACCACTAGCCCAAGAAGTACTGGATATTAAAAGGATTAATTCACGTCTCATGTGGATCAAGCTTCGCATAGAAAAGCAAACAATGATTATTTTTTCTGCATATGCACCACAGACAGGCGAATCAGAAGAAATGAAAAATGACTTCTGGGCTGCATTCTCTGACACCATCTTAACAATACAAAAATCTGAAAATCCTGATTGGAGGCGATCTCAATGGCCACGTTGGAGAGAAAACAGATGGTTTTGACAACGTACATGGCGGTTTTGGCAACGGAAAACGGAATGAAGATGGCAACCGCATCCTTGAGTTTGCTGAAAGTCACGGGTTTTGTTTACTGAACACATATTTTAGAAATAGGTTGGAACATCTCTTAACATACAAAAGTGGACCATCAGCCACGCAAATTGATCTCTTCGCTGTCAAGCAACAACACCGAAGGCTATTCAAAGATGTCAAAGTTACACCTGGCGAATCATGTGTCGCCCAACATAGACTCCTTATGGCAGACCTGGTTGTCGAACTGTCAAAACATAAGTTTAAACAAATGCCTCGGAGAATCAAAACGTAAAAGCTGAAAAGCAAAATTCATCGAGAAAACTTTCAACAGATAGTCGCCACACAGTTAGACCACCAATCGACAGCCAGAATACTTCAACCGTCTGTTAAACGAAACAAATCCCATCAATGTTAACTTTGACGCTCCACCCATTGAAGGTCCGATTTCATACATCACTGTAGAGGAGCTTACAGAAGCTCTGAGAGCTATGAAGGATGGAAAGGCAGCAGGGCCCTAGGGACTCACAAATGACATTATCAAAGCATCTGGTACTGTAGATTGGAGTACATACAAAACCGTTTTCATAACGCTGCAACTACAATTTGTGGGAAAACTGGTTCAAAACGTCAGCATAAACGATACACTTGGTGGTGGAATGACAGTGTACAAAATGCAATAACTGAAAAGAAAGTTGCATAAAAGCAATGGCAAAAATCAAAGTCTGTTGATGACCATAAAATTTTCCGTGAGAAGAACAACTATGCAAGACGTCAAGTTGCACTTGCTCGGACAGATCAGTGCAGAGAGTGGCTCACTAAAAAAACAAAGGTGAACAAATGAAATCTTTGTATCGTATAGCTAAACAAGCAAAGCGTACGAAAAAAGACAGTTGGTGCCTCATGTATCAAAAACAACAAAAATGAGATGGTTCTTGAACAAGATGAGATCAAGCTACAGTGGAGAGAATACTTCAACCGTCTGTTAAACGAAACAAATCCCATCAATGTTAACTTTGACGCTCCACCCATTGAAGGTCCGATTTCATACATCACTGTAGAGGAGCTTACAGAAGCTCTGAAAGCTATGAAGGATGGAAAGGCAGCAGGGCCCTAGGGACTCACAAATGACATTATCAAAGCATCTGGTACTGTAGGTATCCAAACGTTTCTACAACTTTGCCGTAAAATCTGGAAAAATTGGTCAATGCCGATTGAATGGAACTATAGCATGACAGTTCCGCTATACAAAGGCAAAGGTGATCCATTGAACTGTTCATCATATCGGGGTATACGTCTGTTAGAACACTCCCTGAAAATTGACGAGAAAATCATTGAGAAAAGATTAACGTCATGCATCACAATCGGAAATTATCAATTTGGTTTCCTAGCGGGGAAATCAACAATTGATGCAATTCACATCCTTCGGCAACTGCAAGAGAAGCACCTCGCAGAGCATCAACAACTATCACACATTTTTGTAGACCTTGAAAAAGCATTTGATCGAGTTCCCCGTGAAGCAATCAGATGGAGTCTACGTCGGCAACTCATTCCTGAATATCTTGTTCGACTTGTGATGGAAATGTATACGAATACTAAGACTCTTGTCAGCACAACGGTTGGAAACACAGATGCATTTGACATCGGCGTTGGAGTTCACCAAGGCTCAATTCTCAGTCCACTGTTATTTATAACTGTGATGGAAGAAATCACAAAACCGATATGCACTGGTGACATTTGGAATTTAATATATGCTGATGATATCGTTTTAACAGCCACGTCTGAGCAGAATGCTGCACAGATGTTTGAAGAGTGGAACACCAGACTCGCCGATCATGGATTCAAAGTCAACATCAGCAAAACCAAAGCAATGAACACTGGTGAACCCATCCAATCCACAGCTACTGGACGATGGCCCTGTCCAGTTTGTAAAGCTGGTGTAGGTAACAATTCAATCAAGTGTCAGCAGTGTAACCAGTGATGTCACAATCATTGTTCAAAAATAATTGGTACTTTATCTAAAGTGTCCAATTTTGTTTGTCCTGCTTGCATCAATCCACAACAACAAATTCGAAATAGCAATGTTTTTGAAGCCATTAAGTTAGAGAAAGTTACATCGTTTCAATATCTAGGGGATGTTCTGGATTGTACTGGAACAGCTGAAGCTGCCGTTCGAGCACGCATACGTGCAGCCTGGAAATAAATGGCATTTCCTTGCCTCTATATTGATGTGGCGTGACATCCCACTACCACTAAGATCAAGACTTTATAAATCTGTGATTCGTCCGGTGTTGTTATATGGTGCAAAAACATGGCCAATGACAACCAAACTGGAACAATAACTTCAACGAACCGACATGAAAATGCTCCGATGTATGCAACGAATTAGTCTGAAGAACCACATCAAATCTACCGAAATCCTGCGTCGTACTGGTTTAGATGACATAAAGGACAAATGCCGGCAACAGTCTGCGGTGGTTTGGTCATGTCAAACGAAGTGGAAACAGAGCCATAACTTCTCTTGCAGATGTTGAAGTACCTGGCACACGTCCCAAAGGCCGTCCAAAAAAGTCCTGGTCGCAAACAATCGAGCAAGACATGAAAGCTGTGAAGGCTGTTTATCTTTTTCACACGACGTACACATGTATTTATGTGCACACGCAAGCACCGCATCATAAACGCTGAGTATATGATAGCCATTGAGATGTTTGACTCAGCGAGCATTTGAACAACTGAGCCATCTCGCCGGCCAACATGCGACAACTTACGTCGTCTGCCCATTTACCAGCCTCGAAAGGATGGACGGCTGGGTTGACCGGGAGTCGGCTAACCGGATGAACCTGTAGAAACTGCAGAATTCGAACCCGGGTCGTGGGAGTGGTAGACGGACACGCTAACCACTTGGCCACGAGACCCCAAATGCGTTCAATCTATTCAACACAAAAACAAATATCCGAACGTTTAGCCGGATGCATTATTTTTTTAAATATTTATAATGCAGCACTTTCCAACGCAGAGTTGCTTACATGTTATTCTATACCTGAACTTAGAATTAAACTTTTGTACCAGAAAGGCTGAACTATCCACACCACGAAACGCCATTATATGTATGAATGCGCAGAACCGCATCATACGAGTAAGATGATCTTTGAGTTTTGGACGCAGGTGGTATTGGAACTATGTCATCCCGTAACAGTAGCGCTGAGCTAACTCGGTGACCATTATGTACCATTACAATTTATTTTTCACAATGTCTTATCTAAACTCACATACCATAATAATGGATGGATAAGCTCAAAAACATTTTGACACCGATATTATTATAAATAATGCTGAAAATGAATGATCTCTGGTTTAGCCACAAATTATTACGTCCACAGTAAATAATGCAGCATAAAAAGTATAGTAAAATAAATGTATCTATGAAATAATAAATAATTTTAAGTTCATGATGATATTTAAAAATAATTATATGACTGGTTGGTGTCAGGGTAAGGGTTAGGGGTTTGTTCGTTGAATGAACGTTTGTTAACTTTATACAAGTATTATAATATTATATTGCACTTGTCTAACAACAGGTCAGACCAATTAGCTGAATTGGCTGACTCACGGTTTGCTGACTTGAATACATCATAACGCAAAAGACAATTTTTCTAAATTTAGTCAAAACAATTGTTATAATATAATTGCACATCATATGTATTTGATTGAAAATTGTTATAAAATAATGCAGTCTATCGCTACACGAACATCTTAAGTCAGCCACTATATTTTGTGACATTGCCTTTTTACTTTATTACATATTTAGATAAAATACATATTATGAACAATTGTTCAATTATATCATAACAATATGTGTCACGGTTCAAGGGTAGATGTTGAGCGCCGCATCATTAAATTATATTATTGCTGCGGGGTAACACGGCGCGTCGTGAAAATAAAGGCCGGTCTCGTCAGACAGAAAGAAAGTTTATTTTTATTGTAGAAAATTAGTTGGTAGAGTTGGTTAATTTTATTGTAGAAAATTAGTTGGTAGAGTTGGTTAATTTCATTGTAGAAAATTAGTTGGTAGAGTTGGTTAATTTTATTGTAGAAAATTAGTTGGTAGAGTTGGTTAATTTTATTGTAGAAAATTAGTTGGTGGAGTTGGTTAATTTTATTGTAGAAAATTGGTTGGTAGAGTTGGTTAATTTTATTGTAGAAAATTGGTTGGTGAGAAATTGGACATGCAAACGTGGTTGGTGAAGTAGCTGTTGGTTGGTAAGGTATTATTGGGAAAAGTTTCATTTGTTGGTACGTGGGTGGTAGTTAGTCAGTGGTTAGAAGGGGGAGAGCTGGAAATACGGGGTTGTTACGAGCTCAACGACGAAAAACGTAAGATAGCGAACGAAGTAGTTATCTGTTGTGTTGGAGGATGGCGAACGAAGTAGTTGCCTTTCAACGTAACAACAACGTTTGTCGGTTGGGTAAAGCACAGGTGGTACAATATTGGTACAGAAGACGGCTGGAACCGAAGGAGTCAACCCCACATAACACCAGTGTTCGAAGGATACTGTCAACAGGAAGAACAGAAAGCGCCAGTGGTAAGAGTTGGCGTTTGTCAATTGCCGGTGAGTAATTTTCATTGACGAGGATACACAACGGACACAACGTGGTAAAGTTGGTAAAGATGGCCCACAATTAACGGTCGAAAGACAAAGGCATGAAAGAGGGTGATGAGGAGATAACGTTGGATCCCGTGCAGGCAACTCAAATTCGGATTATGATGGAAGCAGCAGAAAAGGAGGAACGACGCAGAGAACAAACAGCGGAAAGAGCTGAAAGACGAGCAGAGGAAGCAGCAGCTGAAGAAGTAAGATGGAAATTAAAGTGATGGAGGAAGATATGAGGGAACGTAGAGAAGCTGACATACAGTTGAGGAGTCAGAATAATACTGCTCAGCAGAGACCATACTGCTAGTATAATCCGTAGAATCAGTCCAATGTTAGGAATGTGTCCTATGGATCCCCGTGAAATTGCAGCATATTTTCAGAGGATCGAAGGAATATTTGACAGCCATCGAGTTAGTGAGGAATTGCGAGCAGATCTGTTACTGGCTAATTTGGAAACGAAGATGAAGACAGTACTAAATGAGATTAAAACTTATGATTATCTAAATTATGAAGTAATCAAACAACAGATCATACGTTATTGTCGCTTTTGTCCGATGAAACTCCGCGATGAATTCTTTTTGGCTCGGAAGGCACATGATGAGACATATCCTGCATTTGCATCGAAACTACATCGAAATCTCCGATTCTATTTACAAAGTCGGAAGGTTGAAACGTTGGATCAAGCACTTTTATTGCTAGTCGTGGGCCGAATGAAGGAATTGTTGCCAAAAAACTTGTTGGAACATGTATTAACTCAGGAAGGTGAGGAATGGTTAACCCACGAACGTTGGACAATGTTGTGGAGATATGAGGCCAACATAAACATGAGACTGTCTAGTAATGTAGCCCCAGGCTATAAACCACTCCAAACGGCTGTACGTCCCGGAACAGATCACAAATGGCTCAACAAAGAGGTTGTAAAAGGATCAATATCAAAGGTAGGTTGTTATCACTGTGGTAGTCGGGGACATCTTGCTAAATTTTGTACCCAGAAAACAAATCATAATCCCATCAAGAAGCTCATGAAATGCCAGGTCACTGCTATGCCTCAGGCCACAAAGGAGTTGAAGAAACCAAGTATTACTCCTGGGACCATACAGGCTGAAAAATACTTCAAAAGACCATTTGTTCAGGTTAAAATTCAAGCTGGTCCGACCTGTGCAGCATTGGTAGATAGAGGAGCAGAAGTATGTGGAATCGGAATCTCTCAGGACTTAAGTCACAAGTTAAACATACCCAGAGGGGAACGTTTGAGGATCAAGGGATGGAATGGACCAACGACAGAAGTAGATGGTGCATGGGTAATGATGGCCTATAACCCTGATGAAGGCGAAAGTATTGCCCCCGCTGTACGAGTATGATTGTGCAGTGGACCTAATGCCAGCGAAACATTAATTATTACACCCAAGGTGGTGGAATTGTTGAAGATGGCAAGACAGTATGCAGTGAAACTCGGAAATGACCAAAATATCACACCAATCAAGTTGGGGAATGAGAAGCACCTTACGTTTCTACACCCATGATGCCTCCAGGATCCCTGTCAGGAGGAGGGGTGACGATCTGATAGGCGTGATGGTGGTTAATGCAGCAAACGTCGTGTCAGTGAAAATGATGATAAGGTGTATGATGAAAACATTGTTTGATCACATAAGGTTAACAAAGCTGGTACACAATAAGTTCACAACCAATAATGTAATAACAATAAAAGGAATGTTGGACGATATGAAGTAGCTCACAACAGTAGCAACGACCACAGCAACGCCAGTGGTAAATTGATATCTAACAACAGTGGTAGTGAAAGTACTTCCCACAATGACAACGACATCAATAGCAGCGACGACAATATTGGCAATAAAGGTACTCACAACAATAATGGTGATAATACGAAGATCAATGTTAGATTGGAAGTAGCTTACAATAACTACGGTATTAATAATGGTAAAATAGATGGCAGCATTATGTTAGATAAGGTTGGGAAGGAACTAGTTAATGAAAATAATAATTGTAAAATAGATGGCAGTGGTATTGTAGATATAGTTGATGATCATGAGGTTGATGAGGAGAAAGATGATGAAGTCAGTGGAATTAATAATTGTAATTTGGATGCCAGCAGCAGTGATGGTGATGAGGATCACGACGTTGATGGTGAGGAGGATGAGAAGATGGAACGTAATGTTGGTAATGTTGATCAGGCAGATGATGTTGGTAACGTTGGTCAGTCGGATGAAGCAGATAAGGTAGATGGTGTTGGAGATGTGGTTCGGTCAGGGGAAGCAAGGGTTGGTAGCGATGGTGGTCGATTGGTCGATGATGAAGAGGCGGATGTTCATGATAATGATTGTAGTCAGGAAGATGCGACGATGAAGAATAATAAATGTAATGTTAGAGATGAAGATGATGAAGAGAGTGTGGAAGGTGGCTGTACGCTGGAAAAGGAAAAATTCCTTCAAGAACAACGTAAATGTCAGACGCTCAAAAAATGTTGGGAGTGGGCGAAGATGAAAAAAAAGAATTTTTTTATCGAAGATGACATTTCATACCACCAAGAAACTGTATTGGGTTATAAAGTGAAACAGTTGTGTTTGCCAGCAACCAGGCTTCAGATAGTGATGGAAATGGGAAATGATAAACCGTTTGCTGGACACATGGCTGCTAAGTCTACAAGACAAAGGGTGGCCCTTAGCTTTTGGTTTCCGGAAATGTGTGAGAAGATACGAAGATATTGTCACTCTTGTCAAATATGCCAACTGAGAAACCCGGTCAGGATAACAGAAAGAACTTCCATAACTCCCATTTCCAGGAAGGAGGAGGTACCGTTTTCCCATCTGGTAATGGATTGTATTGGGCCGATGATATCAACGGAAAGCGGACCCAAACCAAGATATAATTACGCCTTAGTTGTGGTGGATCTCTTCACTAGATGGCCCACGGCATACCCGATGAGGCACATTACTGCCAAAGCGACATGTGAGGTGCTTTTGCAGATATTTATGACTTACTCTATACCAAGGGTCATCAGTTCCGATAGAGCATAACATAAGCATATCAGATGTGCAAAAGAAACAAGTGATGGAGATAGTGAAAATCCATGCGAAGATATTCCAACCTCGGGTGGGATTATATTCAGCCGTACAGCATAGTATCAGAGTGAATGAAAAGTTTCGACCGCAACGGTTGCGTGCATACAAAATCCCAGAATTACTTAAACCGGAAGTTGAGAAACAATTAAAGATGATGTTGGAGCAGGGTATCATTATTCCGTCAAACAGTGCAATGGCCAGTCCCATTGTTTGCATCATGAAGAAAAATGGCACTGTCCGGTTGGCCGTTGACTACCGATATGTGAATAGACATTCTGAGGGAGATGGTTTTCCTACACCTGATGTTCAGGATGTACTTCAGAAAGTGAGTCGAGCCCGATATATGCTAAAAGTGGTTATTGGCAGATACCCATGGAGGAGGAATCAAGATGGCTGACCGCCTTTGTTTGCGATTTTGGATTATTTGAGTTTACCCGTATGCCTTCCGGTTTGAAGTCGGCCAGTATCACATTTACAAGAGCCATGAAGGAACTAACGAGACATGTGCAAGGATTCACAGAGGCCTACATAGACGACATAGCCGTATACTCCAATAATTGGGAGGAACCTGTCATGCATTTAAGACGCTTTTTTAAGGTGGTGGAGCAGTCTGGCCTAACGTTTGATATAGAAAAATGTCGTTTTGCACAGGCCAGGATACCATTTTTGGGACATTTGGTGGGATCGGGTACCATTGATATGGATCCACTAAAGTTGCAGAAATTACATCAAATCCGACCCCCAACCACGAAGAAGGAAGTACAAAAATTGATAGGATTTCTGAATTACTTCCACAATTTCATCCCGCTAGCCAGAACTCGGATAACATAACGGAATTGACGAAAGGGAGAGGTAATGGGAATGTAACGTGGACACAAGATACAGTAGTTTGGATACAGTAATTCATCAGCTGAAGAATGTTGGAGGTTTACATACCATCGATTACACCCAACCGTTTGGTTTAATCACTGACGCTAGTGACCACACGGGGGCATATTGCTTGGTGCAAATTGATAGTCTTGGAAAAAAAACGCCCCATTGCGTTCGCTAGCAAGAAACTGTCGGATACACAGCGTCGGTGGGCTACCATTGAAAAGGAAGCATAAGCCATCTTGTTGGCATTACAGAAGTTCAGAGGATGGATCTGTATGTCGACAATCCATGTATACACAGACCATAATCCTTTAACGTATCTAACGGATGTAGTTCCTAAGAGTTCAAAGTTGATGAGGTGGGGGTTAGCCATGCAAGAGTTTGACATACACATCAAATACCGCGCGGGAAACAAGAACGCCGCTGACTTTGGTTGGTAGAGTTAGTTATTTTTATTGTAGAAAATTAGTTGGTCGAGTTGGTTAATTTCATTGTAGAAAATTGGTTGGTAGAGTTGGCGTTTTTGTTGGTGAGAAATTGGACACGCAAACGTGGTTGGTGAAGTAGCTGTTGGTTGGTAAGGTATTATTGGGAGAAGTTTCATTTGTTGGTACGTGGGTGGTAGTTAGTCAGTGGTTAGAAGGGGAAGAGCTGGAAATACGGTACGGGGTTGTTACGAGCTCAACGACGACAAACGTAAGGTAGCGAACGAAGTAGTTATCTGTTGCGTTGGAGGGTGGCGAACGAAGTAGTTGCCTTTCAACGTAACAACAACGTTTGTCGGTTAATTGGTACAATATTGGTACAGAAGACGGCTGGAACCGAAGGAGTCAACTTCACATAACACCAGTGTTCGAAGGATTCTACATTGTTGTCAAGTGAAGAAGTTGAAACAGTATCTGCTCGTACGTGGTCACAGCACTGGCAGGAACAAGTCTGCACACTAACCTCGAACTTTAACTTTTATTTTGGTTTTCTTTATTGACTTTGTATATTTATTTGGTATAGTTTTCAGTCTACAGAATAAAATTTTTTTTGATTTATGTCTATGTCTCAACCTTGCCGCTAAGAACCCGCTACAATATGTTTCAATAAAATAAAAGAAATTTGTTTCTGTGAAAACAGCTAAACTGTCTACAATAATAAATACATCAAGTCAGCAACTTTATTTTGTGACATTGTCGCAATGTACCGCATTATTTTAATACAATTTAGGATCAAATACATATTATTAATAATATATTAACCATATTATAACATATTGTTTTGATTATTTTTGGTATATTTTATTATTTATTGTAATGTGTTTGCATCACCGCATTGGGATGTATGGATGCACGTTCATTATCTTCAGATGCAAGCCAGTCAATTAATCCGACCCTTTAACAACAGCCTAAAAACTAAAAAGTAATAAAAACGGCTTAGAAATTGTTTATAATGCCTCAAAACATGAATGGAGTAATGCTGATATTATGATTAATTATTTCATTTATTAATTGAAACTTTACAATTACTGGTAAAACGTGAGATAGTACTCCTATGGTATCATCCATGTTTACAAACAATCATAATGTACTTTTAATAAATTAACTCCGCCCATTTTGAATTATCTAGCGCTTGATTATTTATTTATATCAAATTGAAAATAATTTAATTTGGTAAGTTTTTTAGATAATTACTTGTCAAATAGTTGAAATAGTGAACATTAAATAAAAAAAAATTAAAATATGAGTAAATTTCTGTTTTGATAACAATTAATGGCTTATGGAATGGTTAACAGGGTTAGGGTTAGGGCCTCCCTTTTTCACAAAATTTTCAATCATTTCATATGGAGTGGTTAAAATTTGTGAAATGATTGAAAATTTTGTTAAAAATGGAAGCCCTCTGACCCTAACCCTGTTAACCACTCCCTAAGCCATTGATATTTAACAAGTAGTGATCTAAAAAACTTACCTAAGAATTAACTTGTATTAAATTACTTACCTAAGAATTAACTTGCATTAAATTATTTTCAATTTGATATAAATAAATAATCAAGCGCTAGATAATTCAAAATGGGCGGAGTTAATTTATTAAAAGTACATTATGATTGTTTATAAACATGGACGATACCATAGGAGTACCTATCTCACGTTTTACCCAATTAATTACAGACTCAGAGTGATATTTTTATAATAGAAACACCGAGATTTATTTACCTGCTTGTTGAAAAATCCTAAGTTTGCCCAGCATTTGTAACATTTTTCTGACATTTTATAGTGTTTTGTAAAAATAAATAAATCATTACAAAAAATAAAAAACGCCCAGGTGAAGCAGCAACGAAGTTTACCAGCTACAAAAATGTATGCAAAGTGAGATATGGCGGTAAAAAAAGAGAGGTTCGATCATAAACGCGATGATGTATGCACGCTTGCAAAAAAAGATACATATGCGGAACAAAAGGCGGCGTATAGTATTTCATTCATGAATTCCGATATCTTTTTAATGTTACAAACATTTAATATTCTAATTTTAATTATACTTTAGTTTAGTTGCACATATGCCAATTACTCCTTTACAGAAATATGCTAATTATTCTTCACTCGGAGATCAAAGTGTTATCAAAGAGCAAGTAAATGGAACCAATAAAATTAGCACAATAGAACATAACACCGATGTAATTAGCACAATAAAACATAACACCAAAGCAATAAATAGCACTTACGTTCGGAAAGTTTTCTTCACAATTTAAATTTTTCAATAAATTTATCAATTTCGAGTTTAAAAAATTTAATTTTAAGTTATTAACAGTATTAAAAAATTTATTTAATTAATAATTTTTAAATCCTGTTGTATTTCGCCGCCTAAAGAAAGTGAAAATGGAAAACACTAATCCTAACATAACCGCACGGACAAGGAAGGTGACCAATAAGATGAGTGATATTGCGGGATTGCATCTGTGTGAAGGTTGTAGGAAAGTAAATGAAGAAAGAATAAAAACACTGACTAATTATGAGGAGGAAGGATTGCTTGTTGCTATCAAACAGTTGGAAGAAAAAATGGCAAATGAAGTCAGATGTCTAACTCAGATGATGGAAAAAGTCACATTTAGAGAAGAGATGCTAAAAGAACAGATGAGGGAACAAACTAACTTGAAGAATAGTCTCAATGAGGTAAAAAATCAGGTAGCCAAGGAAGAGGAAATGACAAAAAAGTGGAATGAAGTAGTTAAAGGTAATATTGAGAGTTTGACAACAAATGTCAAGGAATACATTCATCGGTGCTGGACACAAAAAATCATCTGGATGTTGCTAATGAAAGAGATATCCGTCGAAACAATTTAGTCATTTTCAACATACCAGAAAATGAAAGTTTTTCTTGGAAAGCTGATAAAGAGAAAGTGCTTCAGTTGTTGAAGGAGATAACTGATGAAAACTTGGAGAAGGAGGTTTCAAATGTATTCAGACTTGGTAAAAGGGTGAATGATCAAAAGCCAAGGCCTATTTTAATTAAATTAGGAAATTTAACTACTAAAAACCTGATACTAGAAAACTGTTTCAAATTGAGGAGGAGTAAATCATTCAATGGAGTCTACATTAACCATGACCTTATTAAATTAGATAGAGATATTTGTAAACAGCTTCTCGATGATAAAAAGAAGAAAATTGCAGAAAAGGACGACATTAATAACTGGATATTTAAGATAAAAGGACAACCAGGTGAGTTTCATGTATTTGTTTTTAAAAAGACAAATTTATAAAGAGATCAAAGTCAAGAGAAGGTAGTGAGTTTAATTATAAACATCCTAGTGTGGTAAAGAATCCTAATAATGTGCTTAATGTTTTGTATACCAATGTTGATTGTCTCACAAATAAATTTTCAGAATTGAATCTATTTTTAGATGCATCGGATTTAAAGTATGATTTAATAGTTATAAATGAAGTAAACTCTAAAAATGTTGAAAACTCTTCATGGAACATTAACGAATTTAATTTGCCTGGATATAGTTACCTGGTTTCAAATTTCTGCAAAGCAAGCTGTCGAGGTATTATGTTATATTACAAAATCAATTTGCAGCTGTTTAGTGTTCAACTGGATTCCATATTTGATGAATATTTGTGTGCTAGGATTAACGTCAGAGATCAAAATTTAAATTTAATGGTAATTTACAGAAGTCCTAATTCAAGTAATGATAATAATGACAATCTCATTGGTGTCTTGAATGAGTTTGGTGAGTTGTCTGGTAGACAACTTGTTTTGGGTGATTTTAAT